AGAACGTTCCTTGTTTAATCGCTGATACAAATAATTCAATTCTGTGGGGGGGGGAGCAAAACGGCCTAATCCGCCCTCCTCCTTACCTAATATTCTCAGAAGTATTACAAATCTGCAATAATATAAGCTTACGCTATTTTTTCCGCTTTTTCTGTTTTTTTTTGCTATTTTCCGCTTTTTAAGGTCAGCTTTCCCATTTGTAGACCTCATCAGGTGAGAACCCTGTGTGATATTCTTACCATCTGCTGGCAGCTAATAAGATGAAATGATCAATTCGATTAGCGCAATGAAAAATACAAATATGTTTCGGTTGATAGAAGAATATCTATCGAAAACTCTTATAGAATGTATTATATATCATAGTTCTGAATAATAACATACTTAAAATGAAAACCAGGTTACTTATATGAGAAGTTATTCATGGTTCAAGATAGTTCATTGTACTTCTCTTGGACTTCACTCGTACTTCCCTGTACTTCACTCGTACTTCCTTGTACTTCTCTTGTACTTCCATGTACTTCCATCGTACTTCAAATTTTTTTTGAAGTAGATGAAGTCGCGCTTTTTCCCCCTTGCCTTTTTTCACATGGGTACTGAGCGCCTTTTTTCACACACACTAAATAAAATCCGTCGGCTATGTGTCGTGAATTTTTGTGTTGTGCTCTCTATTACAAAAATGTGTCGTATATTTGTCGCGTTCTGTCAGTCGACTAGTCATTCGCCGTTTTGTTATGAACATACAACGACATATAAGCAACATCGTTGAACGCACGGAAGATATGTTCTCGAAATAAAATTTTCCTTGAAATTAATTCTTGATTACTTCATAATCAAGGAATTGCCATCCCGATCCATGATCCGAGAAGGATTACACTGGATAGTCTGATAGGAATCGGACCATTTCCAAATCAGCCAGATCTTAGGATCTGATCTGATTGAATTTTCAAAAAATAAAGAAATATATGCAATTAAATTAAAAAAATATCGAAATATGCGTTTCAAAAACAACCAATGAAAATGTGTCGGATGTGTTGTGAAAAATGAGTCGTGGTCTTGCTGGACAGAATGTGTCGCTACGAGCACCTCATGTCGTACTCGAATGTGTCGTGCTTTGTGTCGTAAACTACGACACATTCGACACATTTTTACTTGCAGTGCATGGGTACTGAGCGCCTTTTTCCAGAAAAAGAATCGTATTTCAAGAATTAAAATTTTCTAAAGAACACAGAGAGAAGTTTTTTGGTAATTTGATTCTAAATTACGGATATTACATTTCATTATCTCTCCTAGGTTTATTTTTACATAAAAACAAACATCATATTCTGAATTAATATGCGTGCCTGGTTTCAAAGGAAAAATGATACTTTTGAAACATTGCTATCATCATGGACTAAAACATGAGTGTAAACGTTTTGAAATAGAATTAATTCAATTTCTTAATTGAACTTACTATCCTCTATATAAATCCTAAAGATCTTTCATTTTATTTAACTATAATACGAACAAGCATTTAAACATAGGAATAGCATTAATATCTCTAATTCTTCGCCCACAATCTTTTATGGCCCTAAGGTTATTAATGAACATAAAACTCGTGCCAATGAAAATACATCTGATTAGATTAAATACATTCGGATTTATCACACTTTCTAAATTATATTCCTGTGATTAAAAAGTACCTTCTTGCTTTTAGAGTCTATATTTATGCAGGATGTACTTTCACATAAATTGATGCACACATTATTTTCTTGTCTATTAATTTTCTTGTAAAAAGAATTATGTACTTCCCAGGAGAATGATTCCGATAGTGGGATCCTATCGGATTCGTGTTGGAATCTTATCGAATATAGTATGGATTTCATTAAACGGACGAAATCCTATCGGTATCCGGGTGTGGGACCTACAATCGGAACCCTAGTGTTGGAATCCGATAGTTGCCAGTGTCGGAATTTAACGGAATTCAACATAAGCATTCGACCCATGTGTTCTGTTAGCACCATATGTTTATTCATTTGTGATTAAGAAAATGTTTTTTTCCGTCGGATTCGTTAGTAGGTGCATGACCAAGAATCTGATCGAATTTTGTCGGCTTGTCGGATCTCATGAGATCCGATAGGATTCACTGTCAGATTCATTCACCTGGGTTGTGTAATAAGTACTTCACACATGATAACCATTAAATGGAATAGCTTTGTTTTATATGTTTTTGATTACTAATTAAATTCAGAGCTAGTGGCGGAGCCAGAGGGGAGCTTGGGGAAGCTGCGCTCCCTCTAGAAAATTTTGTCGCTATTTAGGCTGTCAAACTTTCTTTACTAAATAATTTCAATGCAAATACTAGAAGTTAGCATAGCCGTTTGCCTATTTTTAATCAACTAAGAAGAACTTCGTACCTTTTTTCTCTTCATTTTTTATGAGNTGCTGTCACATTTCCTGTGTCGTCCGTCGTATGTGAAAGGTCGTTTTCCAGGATGAAATTGATTAAAAATTATGCTCGAAATTCGATGGGTGATGAAAGGCTTAGTGATCTTAGTGTATTGGCTATTGAAAGAGAATTTGACATGGATTTTTTGAAAAGATTATTGATGTATTTGCCATACAACATAAAAATAGTAGAATTGTATTCATGTAATTAAGTGATATGAAATATATTTAAATATAGAATCCCATCCATATGTTGATATAAATATATATGTTTATAAATATATGAGCAAGAATTGATTGAGTAAGATATGAGGACTCAAAAAACTGACTCAAACATGATAGTTTTCAAAAAAAAAGCTTTTACTATCGTAAGTAGACTTTGAATAATTAAGTTGGAGCTGAGCTCCCCATAGAGTGAAACCCTGGTTCCGCCACTATTCAGAGCGTCTAACAATCTTGTTCAACATCTAGACTAAAATCGCACTCACATTAGAGATAAGTGTCCACATGATGCATCTCAGTGTCTGAATTTCCAAAAATTCTTCACAAAAACACGAAGAAGAAACTCTATAATTGACCTTGACTAAATTCAATTTTCATGCAGTCTGAAAGCGTCAAAGCGTAGACATTGTCGTGCAGGTCAGTCTTGCAGGTTCTATTCCTGGTTGACAGTATTGTAAGAGAAATACATCAAGTATGAATACAATAATTACTAGATATACGCAATAAATTATCATATGCACTAATTGTATTGTATTACGCGATGATAGGGAATTATGACTTTCAATAAAATATTACACTGGCATAAACATTTAGATCATTAGTTTCTATTAAAACAAACTTGACCTTCTTCAGCTTGACATTTTTGTAATAGAATATTTTTGTTTTAGTACAATCTCATATTCTTTATGCAAATTGCATAATAGATGAGGAAATCGAGCCGGTCTATAATCTAATCAGTGAACTAGTTAAGAAGGCTTTTTCAGCCGTGAATTGTACGAAAAAGATAAGCAAGATAAATAAAAAATTTCTTTAAATTACAGTAATTATGGGACGACTAGAGCTGCAACAAAAAATATTCAAGTGACTTTTGTAATCTGTATTTATGATAATAGGATTTTTCTTGGTCTCGATTCATTATTTTTCTCGTTTTGTCAATTTTGTTCTTAATCATTCATCATCAAAAAAACAAACCAAACATTATACTTTAGAATACAAAAGAACTATGTAAATTTTTTATTTTTTAAAAGAATAAACTTCATTATTTACATGAAAAAATATGCTGAGTTCTTAAATGTTGCATTTAATTGAGTTTTCGTTGTTGAATTGGTATTAATAAGTGGTGATCATGATATTGGTAAAGATTTATACTCGATTCTTGGAATGTTATTCACTGGTAGATTATTATCATGACCGACAAGTGTTCATTGTTCATTGATATTTTTATATCTTTGACATAGATATGCTTGTATAACGCGTTGATCAGCCTTTTGATGTTGCTCAGGGCTCATTGATAATGAACATCGCCAATGACAATAATATCTACGCCAACATGAGCGAAGAAATTTCAATACTGTTTGTCTTAAACGTGATGATATAATAAGATAAATTACGGGTTGTAATGCGCAATTAAGAAAAACAAGTAAACGAACCGTATTCAATAGCCATTTAAATAGAACTTCCTTCATAAAATTCTGTTGAAATAATTCATTATAAACAATAAAAAGTAAATTAAGTAAACGATATGGTAAGAGTAATACAATGTAGAGTAAAATAACAACAAACAGCATGGCAATAACTTGTAGATGTTGTGCTGAATGAGAATTTGTTGTTTCCATGGGAATCATGATGGATATGGGTGATGATGATTTTGAACTTTGTTGTTGAAGACGATTTGATGCGATTGTTTGCGGTGAAGATAATGATGAACGTGGTGGTGCTTCAAAATAATTGTTTCGTTGATTTGTTGTTTGACGTGATACAAATTGATAATCTTCATCGTTATTATTTCGCTTGTTGGAATTGATTCTATTGGCAAGTTTTTTCGAGTTGAGAATTATTCTTATAACTTGACCATAAATAATTATAAGAAAAAAACCAGTAATTAAATAAGTAAAAACAAGTAATAGAATTAAATAGGTACGCGACCAAAGTTCTCTAGCTTCTGTATCACAACTTGGCCCAGACACAAATTCAGATATGTTGGTTGTACTGTTCATTGTTGCGTTCGAATTTTTTTCATATGTAGTAAGCGTAAATAATGGTAGATTAATGATAATAGCAAATATCCATATAAGACACATTGTTTGATAATGATTACGAATTTGTCGGTGAATTAAAGTTCGCTGTAAACAACGTGGAACACCAGCCAGATAACAACGATGAACAGTTAATATTAAGAGAAATCCAAGTGCAGCATGTACTGATACTTGTTGTAGAAATGGCAGTAAATAACCTATAATGTAGTAACAAAAATAAGTCAATCATTTACAATATTTAAGAGATCGAATAAGATATATTTTTCAAGACTTTTATGATACCAGATCGAATTATCTTAGTTTTCTATTTAATATCATGTAGTATAATCAAATTGAATTTTCTAAGAGAAAAGAAGAAGCTCGATTATACATCTAGATGTCAAATCTGAAAATTTATAATAACTTTTTTATATTATTAAATGAAGTTCGTCAACGGACTAATGGTTCTTTTTTCAATCGGACTTATATGTACCAAATGAGTGTTGATTATATTGACAAAACAACAGTTCATATTCTTCGTTAACTTCTAGCGAAATAGAGCAATCCGTAATGATGCATAGAAAATTTGATTTTCTATGTGAAACTTGGCAAAAAGATAGGTCGTGATGAGTACAGTTCGTTTTGCGGAAATTGTAGATTTTTCGATTCATTTATATCGTGATATAACAGCATAACGTCGATTAGTTTTACATGATTTATTCCGAAACTAATCAGCATACGTCTACAGGAAATATTATTCTTGACTAAGACTGATTTTGTTTTTGAAAATAAAAATTAAAAGATCAGTCGTCTTACCAGAGCCCTAGGGTATTCGTTTGAATTATTTTTAAGTTATACACATGTAAATTATGCTCTTTACAATGTGCGTCGTCAAAGAGTCATTAGCAAAAGGCGCTTTCCTTTTTATAATTCTTTTACTTTGCTTTATTAAAAAGCTTTCAGGATGTAAATTTTTCCGGCTTATTACGTAGGAAATATGTAGAGCCAAAATGAAATTATTTTTCTAAATTCAAGTACATTGTAGACTGTAAACAATGATAAAAAAAACGATCTACTAATTCACGGATTTAGCATGTATTCAAATGCCTGAAGCCATCATTAACGAGCACTAATTAGGCTAAAGAGATTTTGTTTTGTAATAACTATCGTCGAAAAGAATACACGAGTCATATTTACTTTCATGTCGGAATGAATTAATGTCACCTTTATTCGATGCAGACCATTCGTCCGTTGATAATTAAATCTAAGTCGACAGATATCGAGTGTGACACATTCTATTTCGTAGACGATTCATATTGAAAAAATTAATTTTTTTCTGACTAAATGTATCGCTGAATATTCATTCATGACAATAAAAATTGTCTTTAAATGAAAGAAACAATATCAAAAGAGCTAGATGAAAATATTTTTCGGATTGATGCGTATTGATCTCGTGCGAGCTGATGAAATTTTTCATGCGTTTTCTTTTTCTAAGGCTTGTCTCAGTTCGCTTGACTTAATATGGATTTGATTACAAGCGATCGAACTTGTTAATAACGAAAATGACCTTCGCGTATATCCTGTCTTCTGCAAAATAACGCGATGATATACATGTATATAGTCTATTCAATGTAGAAAATAAATGATAGAGGGATTGCGCCTTGCGATCAGACCTCGATACAAAAAGTTAATCATGTTGTCGAATTTTTTCTCTTCAATGGACTTCATCTAGACTTTACGTTACGCAATAGCTCCATTTTTGTTTTTTTTTTCTTAAAAAGCTAAAAATAAATTTTCATAAAAACAAGATTATTATCCTCCTAGGATAATAATCTTTTTAGCTAGACTTTTTCACTCAAGGATACATTAATAGAAAATAGCCGAATGGTGTTTATTATAAATTTTAAATATCAAAAAAACAATTTTATGTCTACCCTAGGCCTAAATCTTCTTTTTTCTAATTTTATATTCACGCGGTAGCACTTTTACTGTAGATACTTACATGTAAACATGCCTAAATAAAATCCATCATTAGGATGAAATATTTCAGCAACACGTTCAGGTACACAACTCAACACTAGAAGAATGTCGGCTATGTTAACATTGATAATGTAAAAATACGTTGACGTATGCATTGATCGATCTCGTAATATAGCCAAAATTATGATACTATTACCAATAAAAGCAATTAATATAACCACAATAAAAACACTAAGCCATGAAATACTGAATAGATCGTTCGACATGATGTCGATTTAGTTTAATCTTAAGTTAAAACTAAGAGAATATGACCTGGCAGGTTATAGAAGACGAAATCGCTGAGATAAACTAAAAATCACGTTGTCATCCTATCGGAGCATTTTGTGCATTCTGATAGAAGAAGTACTTAGCTTTTTGCTGCATGTCAAAGGATCATCTCGGACTGGAAATATGAGGAGAATTGAGAAACAGAAAGATGCTTCTCTCTCTCTCTCTCTCTCTCTCTTTTCCTTTCTTTTAATCATAAGCAACGCTACTACGCATTACATATATATATATATAGATGACGATTTATGCTTATGAAAAACAAACTAGACTTTTCATCAATTTACTGAGTAATCCTGATTTCAACCTGAAACAGTAACTTCATATGAAATTCTCTATTAAAAGAGAAACATATCTATTCTTTTATAATAATAATAAACTCTAGAGAACTGTAAGGCTTAATATAAAATTTATGTTTGTTCTCTAATTGGAAACTTTAGCACAATAGCAATTTGTTTTTGTTCTACAAAAGATGGAAACAGATTTAAATGAATCGCATTTCTTATTGAAAAGGTGATGACTGGCTATGCTGAGTTAATTATTTAGAAAGATGCCCAGGATATTTCTTAGTTCTATTTCGCATGCTAAAGAGATAAGAAAGTTGATAAAGATTTTTTGCCGTCATCCTGTGATTCCTAATAAGAAAAGTCATGAATTATCTTTGTGAACTATTGTCAATGTTTGCCAACGAAATAAATACTCATTGTGCTCAATTGTATCCATGCATTAAGATATACAAATGAGAGCAACCAGTTCAAATCATCGTGAATCAATACTATCCAGCCGTTTTCTATAATTGCTAATTGTGCCATGGTGATCCGAATTATCCGTTTTTGATTAAAAACTATTGTTAGAAAACAAAACTGATGAAATGTTTTACTTGATATGATGATTAAGTCTAAAAATTGAAGGCATCACGTAGTTTTCTTTTTTTTATGTTGAAATCTCGGCATAAATTTGTCCTTTCATAGTTTCTCGGTGTTCAATCGCAAGCTCACTAGATACGCTCTTCATATTCAAAAATTTATTTTTAATCCACGACGATTTTCATTAACGATAAAGTCTGCCATTTGATACACATGATTGATAATTGCACGGTAAATATCCTATGAATGTTGAACTTTGTTCAACAACATGTAATCTTTTGAAATAAATTTAACCTTCTAATAATCATCTTTTTTATTCTTTTTCTGTAGCCATTAGCATTTACTTCTAAGGCCAACAAATGAGAAACAAAATTCTTTTTTTTATAATCACTTCGAACGAATGAACACAAGAAATCGGCCTTTTTCTTCTTTTTCAATATAACGAAAACAAAATGGAAGAGAAAAACGCTTTTGTTTTCTCTCGTTTTAAATTCCTCACAAGTTCAATCCTATAAGGATTGCTCGTTGGAATAAAGAGAACACCAAAAGAGTAGAACATAGAAACAACAAAAGTTTACATCTAGTTAGTATATATAAGAAAAACGTATATGTATATATGTGTATATATATATATATACATGCATGCAAAAGAAAACACACACACGAACATCCACAGTTATTGCGAAAGTAAAAAGTCTGTCGTTGGATTTGTTGTCGATGCCGAATTATTTTGATCATTGATTGCCATTTGACTGGAATTTAAATCATTTGAATTACCTGGATTTTTCATTACAGTTACAAGACCACCATATTCGTCGAAACGAAATGGTGTCGTATTATTACTTGCACAAATTAACTAAAAATAATTTTTCACAAATGTAAATTTGACATCCAGGGAAGTGGAAACAAAATGTTTTTTTGAAATGTCACCTAGTTTCTTTTGGATTCAATTAGCAAATTAAATTTAGCTTTTTTTCTGAAGAGATAATTACTTCTGTTTCAATGTTGACGTGGTGTCTGCCGAGATTATGAGTACTGGAAGTTTTAAATACAGGCTCGCGGCAGTGCAATTAAAATAAAAAGTCAATTAAATCGGCATACTTGAAATTCTGTTTGATCTAATAATCTTTTCAGTAGTACCTGATTTGTCAAAGTTCGACTCGGAAAAATCCTGATACAAGTTGTATGACCATTAAATACTCAGTCTGTAACAGTCATCAATCACATGAAGAGACGCGCTTATATTTTCGAAATGCCCTTGAAAATTTCCCTGAACTTCTCTTGTCATACTCAACCTAGAAGATTTTTAATTTTTTGCAGCGTACCTCCGCGCGACCACGCGATTTTATCTGTTGATGAATATTTCCATTATTAGCAGAATCTAAAATGACAACCTACAAAAACAAAAATATATAAGTACTGCTTTTCTTTTTATTATTATTGAAAATTCTTACATCCATTCGATGTTTTTCTGTAATATGTTTAATAAATTCATCCACATTGCTTTGATATCGACGGCAAAGTCCGCATTGAAATCTAAATTTAGTCATATAAAAAATTGAAATTCTTCATCTTTTTGAAATTTCTAACTTTGTATTTGGATTCGATAGAAGAGCATCGTTCGATAAAAGTACAGGTGTATTCGATTGTCCAGCATGATTATGATGTAAATGACGCTTAAAAGGAAAAAAATCAGGCATTTAGTTATTTTACGGATTTGATATTTTACTTTGAGGTTCGTTTTTTTATCCGTTATATACGAACAGAAAGTACAAACATGTGCTGAATCATCCAATTGTAAATGTTCACTTTTAACATGTTCATTTAAATGGTAAAGTTTCGTCGTTGAAAATGGACATTTTTGACATGTAAACACACATTTCGATATAACTTTATAACATTGTGGAACTGTGCCATGAGGCGGAGGCATATTTGGCATGTCAGAGTTCTAAAAAAAGAATAAATCAACTATTAGGAAATAAACTATGAGATAAGAAATTCCGAGAAACTTGAAGGCATTAAGTATCTTTTCATCACGTCAGACTCCTTCAGCGTTACAAAAGCGTAATTCTAGAGCATGGGTACTTGAAAATCTATAATTAAAAACTAGATGACACTTAACACTTCTGAAGAATTAATCACAAAGGAAAAATATCGAATGGAATTCACGTGACTTGTGTAATACTACAAAAACTTCGTAAACAATGATAAGTGCAGTGACCCACTTTTTTTTTAGCTAAGCGATATTCGATGGGATAAAAATGAATCACTCAATTTTTTCGATAATTTACTCGTTTAAGAAGATCTGAACCAAATAAACGATTTCCTCGACCGATTTGTGGTATGTTTAATTTATGTATTGATGTTAAATGACGTTTAAGATGTTCCATTTGATAGAATTTATTATTACATTTTGGACATTCATAATTACGTTGTCCTTGATGATAGAGCATATGACGCTACATTGAGAAAAAATGAAATTTTGTAAAAAGAAAAAAGAAAATTCGCTTTTACTTTTAATTTTGAAAAACTTTTACAATTATACGGACATAAGTTGCATTGAAATTTATTCGTCTGACTTGAATGACTATAAATATGATTTTGAAAATCCTAATCAGTAGAGAAAAATGCACAATTAAAAAATAAAAAAGTTTTATAGGAAAATTTCCTACCGAATAATCATGAAAGACTGTATCACATTTATTACATTTCCATTCTTTTTTATATGTTTTAGGTAGATTATTCAAAATATCGAGTCCTTCAATGTCCCAATGTCGACGAGCCATATGAATTTTAAGATCAGCATTTGTTGCGGCCATAAATGAACAATAAGGACATGGAATCGATCTAGATCGAGAAAAACAAAAACTATCATGTCGAAGTGAAGAGTCACCGGTGTAAATTTACTTTTCTAAATGTTTATGTGCCATATGACGTTTAACATGTGTTGTTGTACAACCACGGTAGTGACATAATGGACAAGCAAAATCTTTTCCTTCACTACCCATATGAACACGTAAATGTCGTTTCATATTGGCGATGCCCAGAAATTTCTTTCCACAATGATCGCATACGAAATCAAATGGATCGAGTTCTAGAAAATCAAAATTATAAACAAAGAGAAAGACGCGACGAACATACCAGCATGTTTTTTTGCATGTTTCATGGCTTCGGATCTTGACGGAAATGCTTCACCACATTCGTGGACTTTACAACAATATGAATGACTCATTTGATCAGCTTCCTGAAAGAAAATATCAATAGTTCGTCTTCATTTCCTCAAGCACATTTCCGATCTAAGTAACTTACATCATTTCCAAGTGGATCATTTTCATTATCATTCGGATAGGTTTGAGATTCAAATAAACTTTCAAGAAATCTTGTATACATTTCAGGACATTGCTTAAATGAATGTTTCGATACAATGGCTGAACGGTTAAAATCGAAAAATTCCTGTTCATCTTTAAACACAACCTTTGAAGAAAAAAATTCATTATTCAAATAAAAATTGCTTTTGTATTTCTTACTTTTAATATATGTGCTTGTAGATCTCCACGTCGGCATTCTTCCAGAATTAATCGTCCTAAATTTCGCTCGATAGCATCAATTAAATGTTTCGCTGAGTTTTTATCAAGTTTAACGGATACCACACGATTTCCTCGTTCGTCACAGACAAATGTTCGTCCTTTACGATTAAATAAATCACTATATTGAAACGACGGTTCAAATTTAACATCACTATCGGCTCTCAACGAGCCCATAACTAAGTCGGGTAATTGTGCCGGATGATAGCCAGGTCCTGTTGTTGATGATAATTGAGGATTTTCATCGTCGAAATTCGACATGTCATCATCATCAAAGTCTAAGACGCGATGAATCGATGCTAATTCATCGTCATTCAAATCCATGCCAAGTTCATCTTCAGAATCGAATGGACCATTCAATAAATAGGAATCACTATCGTACTTATTTGATGAACGTGACGTTGTTGCTTGTGAATTCGAACGTTTTGTTGTTGATAGATCATAATCAATCGAATCGATTGATGATTGATGTGGACGTATGCGTACCATGGGTTTTATTTCATCGTTTGTTGTCGTTGAATTGGTTGTATGAATTGGTAAATCATCGAATGTTGACGATGAAGATATTTTAACTTTATTATTTGGTAACATTAACACATCAACAGATAATTCATCATGCGGATTGGATGATTGCTCATTTAATGAACGATAGATAATATCAGCATCGACTTTGTATCGTTTCGAGGGAATAAATGTATCGTTTAAGCGTTCAACAAGAACGGCACAGGGCCGAACAAGATGTTGATGATTTTTCTGCATTTGTTCGATCTAAAAATCAAACCGATTTACAATTATAGTTGTGGAAAATTTTTATCCTAGGAAACCAATGAAAGGAGCCACCAGGGTCTCCTTTTGGACGCAAAATACGTTAATATTATTTATGAAAAGAAAACGAATTATGCCTAGCTCCCTCTGTTATTCGTTGTGATGAGACAGAATTTTGTTCATGACTGAGGATTTGTTTGCAATAGTTTTCATTGGATGTTCAAATTTTATGTTTCTCGAAAAAATTCGAGAAATTCTTTTATTTTGAAAAAGAACATTCTTTTTAACTTCATTTATGATTATTTTTGTTCGCTAGTTTTATGGCAGCGACATCTACAGATTAAATCAAAATTTTTGGACTTTTGTCAAGACCATATGATCAATTGAAAGTTGATAGATCGCGTTGTTTTTTTCTTTCAGTTAGATAAACTCAAACATAAGATAAGAGGTTTATGTTTACTTGAAGTAAAAATTTATTCATGATTACGAAACATGCTTTACTCTTCTTGACTTTCAGATCACGAATGTCTTCCGATGAATCCGATGGTGTACTTGATGACAATCAATTTTATGCTGTATATAATTGTTATTCACCTGCATTCTTAACCGATCATGATCGAATCAATATTGAAAAGGGTGGTAAAATTTTACTTCCACAACCTGCACTTGAGCATTTAGTGGAAAAAGTAAGCAAGATGAATTTCTTCGCAATGTCTCGTTTTATTTTTCTAGACGAATATTATGTTATTTAAATTAAAAAATCCTAAAAACAATCGTTTAACACATTGTGGTGTTTTAGAATTTATAGCGAGTGAAGAACCGATTTGTTATTTACCATGCTGGATGATGAATCATTTACAATTAAATGACGGTGATGAACTATCGATTGAATCCGTTCATTCAATACCCATGGCAACATTTGTACGTTTTCAACCGCAATCAAAAGATTTTCTTGATATATCAAATCCTCGTGCTGTTTTAGAACATGTATTGAGAAATTTTAGTTGCTTAACAAAAGGTGATATGGTGCCAATTGATTATCTTGATCGAAAATATGAATTATCTGTATTGGAATTAAAACCGTCGAATGCTGTATCGATTGTTGAATGTGATATGGAAGTGGATTTTGCTCCGTCTATTGATTATGTTGGAGAAAAAAAATCATCAACTCAAACAGCAACAAACGATGAACAGGGAAATAGAAGTTCTTCAACATTTAGACCATTTAGCGGGCAAGGAACACGTTTAAGCGGTAAAGTAAAAGTCAATGATAATGAACAAAACACGAATGCTAAAGGTACACAAAAACGTGGAGTACCAAATTATGATTATAAATATGGTTTATTAAGATTTCCACGTATACCATTAGATTCCACACATAATGATATAAATGAAATATTAGATAGAAATTCCTCGACTACATTTCAACCATTTATAGGCGAAGGAAAAGTTCTTAGACAACCTCGAAATCAAAAACCGAATTAAAGTTATATTTTCTTTAATGAATTTATTGTTATGCTAGAGAGAGTGAGATGGACATGCAGATAAATGAGAATAAATTTTTATTTTGTTTTATCGTTGTTTAATCTTAATGAAGACCAGATGGTATACGGCCATGGGTGAGATCAGAGAGAACATTATGAAATTCCCTATCAGAACTCACACGTATGGTACTTTGAGGATAATATGATGAGTATCGATCGTAGAACGATGGATAGCGATCATACGATGAATTACAGTAACGATTCCATGAAGGTGTTACATCAATCATTGTTGAATAGTTTCCTCGATGCGGATAATAGTCATCATAGAAACGATACGATCTATATCGACTTGAGGGTTGTGTAGAATAACTGTAAGGTGAATCGTAGTCCGTGTAACCATAGTGATAGGATGCTGAACGAGGTATCGAAGTTTCGTATCTCGTGCGGTCCCATGAACCTGATAGATAAGGAGATGGAGCGCGTCGGTATTCATCCGAAAAGGAAGCATAATTATCGTGTAGATAGTGATGATCGGTAAGTCCGATTGATGGCGGTGGCACAGCACGAACAGCTTCGTCGACAAGATGCGAACTTGTATTCCAATTATGAAGTTCACCTCCATATCGTTGAATATAAGAATCAGGATCGACTTGAATAACTCCTTCGTTTATGAATTCTTTATGAATGCATGCGCGAGGTGCATCATGTAGAATAATTAGATTTGGTTCTCGTGGTGCTCTAAGAAGAAAATCGCATAGAGAAATAGAGAATTTGATTAGAGTTCGTACGTGTAATGTGCTGGTGCTCGTTCGACAAGAATACGCCGTTGATGTGTTTGTTTGTAAGGTAGCCAACGTTCGATGATAACATCCGATGGTTTAGGTGGACATTCTGCAAATCGTTCGATAATAACTCGACGTGGCGCTGGTGGTGGAGGAGGTAATAATTTTTCAACTACTTGTGCAGGAGTTCGAGGGGGGAGTAGAGGAGGTCGTTCTCGAAGTATCTTTAAAGCGAAAAATAGAGTTTTAATTCGTAGGAAATAGATTTGCATTTACTAAGGGCACTGGTGTTGGAGGCGGTGGTGGACGTTGTCGAATCTAAAACAGTTTAGGAATAGAAGAATTTCAATTCGAAAAAAAATTAATCGTGTGTACTTGAATTGGCGATTGTGGTGGTGGCGGAGGTGGACGAATTTCACCTAATAGAAAAATAGTTCTAGGAAAAAAATAGAAAAAAAGAATTTGTTTTATTTTATTTTACGAATAATAAGTGGTCCCGGTGGTGGCGGTGGAGGTGGTTGCAAATATCGTACAGCAACATTTTGTCGATATGTGACAAGATTATTTGGCAATTGTTTATGAATAATAAGTGGATTTTGACGTTCGACTCTCTGTATAATATCGTGTTGTTGATGTTCAGTTAAAATGGGTTGTTGTTGATGAAACGATCTGTTGTCTACGGATGCATTTATAAATTGATTACTATTACTACGTACGATGTTAGTTTGTTGTGCTTGAGCAACAGCATCCGTAGCGTATGTATTATTTGTGTGATAGTCATCTGCGTATTCCTTAGCAACAGGAGAGTCCGAATGAATAATTTCACTATGCCATCCAGGCGGAGCACCGAGCGGTACAGGGAGTGCTTGTGAAATTATTGAGTCTGTACTTTCGAATGTCGTATTAGCTTGTTCGGATGCAACTAAATTTGACAATTCATGTCTATTACCGTTTACCTGCCATTGCCGATCATTTGTACTGTATGACGCCATGCTACAATTGTGTAAAATTCTAAATAAGTAAGCGATCAAGTAAAAATATTTTTGTTTTTCCCTGTCGTGTGTATTTTGTTATCAAGGTTCTTCTAAGTATATTTTTGATCCCGATCAGTTTTCATACCAAAAGAATAAGCAAAATATTATTGCTGAATGGTATGTTACCTCGGAGAAATTCGGAGGTGAATGATTGATAAGAGAACGAAAGAAGGCGAAGTCGTCATCGAAGACAAAAAAATGAACAAGGACATATAACTGAGTGTGATTGAGAACCTTGATAAGGTTCTTCGGGTTCAATTCGGAATATCAGTTTTTCTTTTGTAATTGCTATTGCTTTATTACTCAATGAGTCCCCCGTTCCGATATAAGATATGAGTTTGTTTAATTTTCCGAATATTAACACAAGGAATATATGCAGTATTTAGTATGAAGAAAAAGAAAAAAAAACTGTATACGACACATACAGTAGGTCCTTCATGCATGAGTAAATTCATTTCTTTTTTTAAACAACAAACGAAAAATAAACCTTGCTAGCTGAATTAGAAAATACAAATCTATATGATCAAACCCAAAAACAATAGTTCTTTTGTAATATAAACCTTTAGCAAAACAAAAGTGTCAAACGATCACATGACACAGAAAAATAAATTTACGTAGTAGCTACTCGTGATTGTTTATTGTATATCTGTCAATAATAACGTTTTTCTTCTTTTATCCTTTACATGTCATATTTGATTTACTATTATGCATAGTAAGATGTACAGAAAAAACGTGACCGTCAATGTCAGCAAATTAAAGTCTAAAAGAAAAACGGCTTTTCCTCTTTGACACTGCTCAAAATCGTGTATTTTTTTCAGATAAAAATGTTAAAACCGCGTGCATTAAGCGAAGTACTTGCACAAGTCACTAATGGAGGAATTCAATCGACTGTGTATGCTCGAAATTCCATTGAATTTATGACTCGATCTGAATAAGAATTTTCTTGTTTTTTTTTTCTAAAGATTATTGACACGCGACGGAGCTCTACTTGCTTATTCGGGGTTTGAAGCAAAAGACGCAAAAATTATTGCTGCAATGGCGAGTAGTATTTTTGCTGCACATCAACGTGTTCGACAACCATCGGGATCGGGTGTACCACAAAATATCGTTGGCTCTGGTGATTTGAATATGATTTTACTGGATGCTGAAGTAAGTTTATCTACTGGCTTTTTTTCCATGTTATTTATTGATCGAATATTTTAGGAAGGAAAAATGGCTATTACTGCTGTAGCCACTCAACTTGTTTGTATGGTAGCTAAAACTAATGTACAATTAGGAATGTTGAAAGCTAAAGTAAATTTCTTCCATCTTGTTTTTTCCTGTATTTTGAATACTTGATTTTCTCTTTTAGATGGATGCTCTTTCGTCTTATCTTCAAGAACCGTTACGCCAAGTATCACAGAGCAATAATTAATATTCTAACTTTTGAAAATTATGTTTTTTCTTTCTTTTTTTGCTGTAAATGATACATCTTCCGGTCAAGAGCATTTCGTTTTGTCTTTTCTGTTGCCTAGTATTTCATAAAAGAAGATTAAAATAGAAAAACAAATTTTTATTGCCTAATTTTGTTTTTTATAGACTTTGTTTTTTATGTACATATTGAACAAATTTAATGCGGTAAACCGTCGACAGAAAAAAGACGACGGATAATTTATGCAATGGATGACGATTGTCTCACATTAGTTGAAGATATTAATAATGATGAAGATCCACTTATAGCAGAGGTAGACTGCGGACATGAATCGACAATATATATTTTTGTCTTGTTTTGCAGGTTGATGTTTATTTAACACGCATATTTGCTGATCAACTATATCTCTTTCAATATCCACTTCGTTCCACTCATCTTCAATATGTCAACGATTCCACGTTTATTGGTGCTCGTTTAAAACCTAAGACAAAAGTTGTACAACTCGATTATGTTTTCGATACCGAATCGGATTTCCATTGTAAAGATAATGAAGCAAGTGTCATACAAAATTTCACATCAACAACCGCCGATGAACGAATAAACTCCATGGATCGTTTAACACTATCATCGTTGAATACAACACAAGGCGATAATTATAAACGTTTTGCTGTTGGCCTGTTAACACCGAATGGTATTCAACTTTCACCGTTGAATGCAATCTTTCAACTGCGACCCGATTTCGATTCGACATCATCCGTACTTGTTCGACAAGCAGCGCCGATTGAAATTGATGAAGATGAGACTGAATCTAGTTTTCACAAACAATCCAGCTCGAATAGTGACGACGCGACAACAGACGAAGAAGCCAATGAACTTGTCACAATGAAATTTTGGAAACCGGAAGGACGATTACAACGCGAGAGAAAAATGCGTTCGTACAATTATTTCGAACGTGCTCGTAATGAAGAACGATGGATTGATTTCGCCTATTATTCGCCCAACGAATGTGAGTCTATTGACTTACGAAAAAAATGGACATTGATGGATAACGATGAAAGAAGTCGTTCGATTATTCGCTGGAGAAAAACTATCTCAATTCAAGATTATTTTCAATTATTAATTTTTGATAAAACAATTATATTCGAGAGTCCGATTGAAAAAGAAAAACCGGCCATTGAATCAACACTCGCCACGGAACAAAAACCACTAGTGGTTCCTCCAACAAAACCAAAAAAGAAGAAAAAAACTGATTTAGATAAATCATCGAAAAAACTATCGAGAAAAAGTATGTTATGAATGTAACCGGAGGTTTTGAGTTAAAATATATTTATTAATTAGGTCGAACTAAAAATGTTAAGTCTACCGATTCGACATTGAATCCTGAACAAACAACAACGACAAGTACACCATCATTACCTACGACAATAGTTAAACAAGATCCTGAAAAAATACAACATGAACTGCTATCGTTCATGAAACGACGCTTTGGTTATCGACCCTATTTTAAACTAAGCGAAATTAATATCGGTAATTATGAAAGAGATCATTTTGAAATTTACTTATGAATGTTTGTAGCAATTAAACTGGAATTGATCTCATCACCACCCGGGCATCCGCTCGCGTCAGGAATTACAGAAGGAAGTATACTTCGTGCAGTTGCGGAGATCGGAGCAATTTATGTGAACAAAAAGGTTTCTTTTCTTTTTTTTAAATTTTCTATTCAATTAACACATTTTTTTCTTCGTTCTATATAAAAGTGGCCGAAGAATCTCAAACAAGAACCGGTTTTTGTGAATGCACAGATGGGTGATAAATATGACGTGGTAAAGTTTACAAAGGAAAGCTCCTCGTTTTTTTTTTCATCATTATCATTTTAGCTTCGTCGTTATGTTGCTGAACTTCTTGAAAAATGTGATAGTTTTCAATTTACGGAATTACGCTCACGAATTAAACAAGAAAATCAAACCCAACAGTTTCCTGTGCACGAAGTGAAAAAATTCGTCAAAGATCATTGTATCACTCGTTCTTCACGCAAAGGTGTACTTTATTGTGTAAAAGGCACATTGGTCAAGTAATGCAATCTCTCTGTTCCCTTGTATAATCCTAACTTTCTTATCTATAACTATATGTACAACACGTTCTTAGTGTTTCGTTCTATTGTAAATGTAGATATATTTTCTATTAAAACAAAAAGTCGATAAATGCGGCGCCGTTGCAGCAAGTATCCGAAATAAATTTTCTTCTCACAGATGGTGTTCCGTTTATTTTTTTGGTTTCTCAACTTCATCATTCACCTGAGTAGGCAACATTTCTCTCTTATAGAAACACACACACAAAATATGCACGACTAAACGACAACATCTATAAATAGGATCCACTGACGCTGAAGGACAAAAACAGACAACGATAAAACAAAAAGGACTAAAAGAGCAATCAACCGGCAATATCCGTCATGTGTACATTTATACCAGGTTTTGCTATTGCCAGAAAAAAAAGAGCAGATCTATACAAAAGTTAATTGTTAAAAAAGAAATCAATTTCGGTATTGGTATCCATGATTATTTTGACGATAGTTATTATAATTTGATCGTCGATAACCACCGCCGGTTGAATTTCGTTGATTACCGAATGTATCTTGATTTCTTGAACGATTATACATAGGTGCTGATACATTAGATGTATCTTCAACAGTCATATTATCAAAAAAAGATTTTTTCTTATCATAGATTGGTTCGAAGTCGGATGATAAATTAGGATCTTGTTTTAAATTAAAAAATTGATCGGGTGATTCTGCGTGTTCTTTCAAGTCATCTTCATTGGTGATTTTATTAAATTTACGATTATTTGTTTCAAAATCAAATTCGCCTTCATAATTATTTCGATGGTCATTGAATGTTTCCCGGTTACCATTACCGCCTGGGCGTCGATATTGATTATTATTCATTGGTGTACGACGATTATTATAGAAATATCTTTGTTGATGGTGTGAATAACTATTTTGATGGTGTTGTTGTTGCGATGGATAAGATTGGCGAGATGTTTGATTTGAATAATTATTCGCTGGCAAACGCTGTTGAGAACGATTCGGTTGTGATTGTTCAGTAGAATTTAATGAAAAATCATCAAAAAATTTGCTTTTACTGCCTGATTGCTGTTGAAAAGAAGACGATGCAGATGATAAAGGCCACGATGGAGCCAATTCTAATAAAAAAAACACTGATGATAGATAGATAGAAATAAGCTGAATTTTTACCTTCTGTTTTTGTTTTACTAACAACTGCTGATACAATAGCTGGATCATCATGAATCGAAGGCTGTTTTTGCAGTGGCGGTGATTGATTACTTTCTCCTGTTTTTTCTTCTTCGACAATTTTTAAATCTTCTATATCACTATTAGCGAATTGCATTATAGGTACAAGTGAGCCAACCACTTGATTATTAGAAAAATTTCCGATCCGATTTTCTGTGCCGAAACATTTGACATTTCCAAGAAGGATCGATGACGCTTGAGAATCGATGCCTTTAAAAATAAAAGAGAATTGATTATTTTTTTCGTTTGTAATTAAGAGTTTAATTTACCAATGATTGTTCCAACATATCGATATTGTGATTTGGTAACAATTGCAATTTTACTACCGATAAAACTACTCGACATTATAGACAATAGATATGTAAAAACTAAAGAAAAACGCACGTGCACGCTAACAGTAACTTCTTCTTCGACTTGTTTATTATTTTACCGTTGGATCGTTGGTCGATGCTTAACTCCGTATGGCTGACATCTATCGAAAAGACAAATTTCATTTTCTCCATGCAAATTCTTTTCTATTTATTTGTAGAGTTTGCAAATAATTTTATTTTTTAGTATTAATTCGTTTATTGGTATGGCTTGTGTCTGACGTGTGATTCGTCATCGGTGTAAAATGTGTACTAGTAACTGTATATGCATGTCAGCTGTAATTCGCGAAGTTTTAATTTAGATTATGGATGCTCAAAAGAAATCTTTATTCGATGACGCTGTTGATGGTGAATTGCTCAGTGAACCTTCTCAAACGTTTGCGCCTACAGTTATCATCTCATTACTTGTCGTTTTTTTAACAATATTTATTTTATGGTGGATCAAACGACGTCCCGGATCGCATCGTCGTGGTGAATGTCTTCTATTGTGTGGAGCATCGAATTCCGGTAAAACATTACTCTTCTGCCGTTTCACAACGGGCTTGGCTAAACGAACAATAACATCGATGGCAACAAATACAGGTTCGATGATACTTGAAAGTTCATCGTCGGATCGTCCACCGAAGAAAATTCATGTTATTGATATACCCGGTAATTTACGTATTCGTCAACGCGATTTTAATACAAATAAAAGCTCAGCCAAGGCAATTATATTTGTTATTGATAGTACAACAATTAAAGAAGAAAGTAAAGACGTTTCGGATTATCTTTATGATATTTTACATGAGAAATCATTTCGCCAACAACGTTTACCCATATTAATATTTTGTAATAAACAAGATATCAATAATGACGTGGAAACTGTTCAGTCGATTCGTGCTCTACTTGAAAATGAATTAACAATGAAACGTAAAACACGTGCATCGGCTGTTGATGTTCATCAAGGCAAATCTGACACCATTGATGATATTGGCCAATTGGGAAAAGAAAAATTTGAATTTAATGATATTAAAGATATTCAAATTACATTTGTTGATGGTTCAGCTTTGGGCAATGAGAAGAAATCATTTGCTGATCAGTACGATGACGAAGCAGATATTGATAGTGCTGGCGATGAAACTGATGCTGATGGCGGAATGAATCTAGATCAAGTTTATGATTGGATTCAAAAAGTGTGGATGAAATGATAATAACCTAGAGAACATTTTATCTTTATTTTTTTTTGCTTGTTGTTTTGATTTATTATACTGAAACGAAAGACAGGGAGAAGAAAAAAAGCACATTTAATTGTATTCTAGATGACGAGATTTGCGAAACATAAGAAACCGAGAAAAGACAAGACCGGTGAAGATGCAACACCATGGGAAGCGTTAAAAAAGCCGGTAACCGAAGAAGAAGATCAACGTAAAGCACAGAAACGTTTAGAGAAAAAACGAAAACGAGAATTGAAAAAGGTTTTGTACCAATGAAAAAATTAGGATTCGAAGTGGCAGGAAAAAAAAATTTTTTTCTAGATCTGTTTTCGATGTCGAGCTGCTGGACATTCAATGAATGAATGTACTGCTGAAATACCCGATGAACTAAAACAGAAACGAGAAGTAAAAACTGGTATCTGTTATAAATGTGGCTCCACTGAACATCGCTTAAATCAATGTACCGTCAAAGGTGATTCATTCGCCTATGCAACTTGTTTCGTTTGTGGTAAACAAGGTCATTGGTCACGTTTATGTCCCGATAATCCAAATGGTTTATATCCCAATGGCGGATGTTGTAATGAATGCGGTTCGAAACAACATTTTAAAAGAGATTGTCCAACGTTATTGAAAAAACAAGGTAAATTATTTGATAGGAAGAGAAAATATCTAGTTTTTGTTTCTAGGTATCGATGATCAACAACTAACTTGTCTTACTGCGACGACATCGAATATCGATGATAACGTTGAACTTGTCACAGTAAAACCTGTTGAAACAAAAAAGAAATCGTTAAAACGTTTAAAAATTGTTAAATTTTAATATGTTTTGTTATTTGTATCGTAAATGAGCAAATCTTGTTGTCTTCTTTCTTTCTAGATAATAATAAAAAAAAATGAAAATAGCGATTGAAGGTTGTTGCCATGGTGAATTAGATCGAATTTATGAAACTATCAATCAAATTGAAAATGAACAAAAAATAAAAATTGATCTTTTACTCATCTGTGGTGATTTTCAAGCGGTTCGCAATGAACACGATTTATTATCGATGGCTGTTCCACCAAAATATCGTTCAATGCAAGATTTTTGGCGGTATTATTCCGGTGAAAAACGCGCGCCTGTTCTTACGATATTCATCGGTGGTAATCATGAATCAAGCGATTTTCTTCTTGAATTACCCTACGGTGGTTGGGTGGCGCCGAATATATTCTACATGGGTTATGCAAATGTTGTCAATTATAATGGTTTACGTATTGGTGGGCTCTCCGGAATATATAAAGCTCATGATTATCATTCCGGCCATCATGAATTGCCACCTCTCGATGATAAAACGGCCCGTTCGATTTATCATATCAGAAGTTTAGATGTATTTCGAACGAAACAATTACAACAAGGTAAACTTGATATTATGATATCACATGATTGGCCACGCGGTGTTGTTTGGTATGGCGACACACAACGTTTACTACAGCGTAAACAATATTTTCAACAAGATATTTATAGTAATCAACTGGGTAGTGAACCATTAGAAGAAGTGCTACTTCAAGTACAACCAAAATATTGGTTTTCAGCACATTTACATGTTAAATTTGCTGCTCTAGTGGAACATACGAATGGAAATCTAACACATTTTCTTGCTCTCGATAAATGTTTGCCCGGAAGAGACTTTTTACAAGTAAGCAAAAACAATAGTAGAAACTAGGAATTTTATCTTTTTCTATAAAAGGTTCTTGATGTTGAACCAATATCACCCACACCATCGCCAAGCAATCGTCTATGTCTTGATCCTGAATGGTTATGTATTCTATCGAAAACTGATCATCTATTGCATGTTCAACGTACCAATACATTTTTACCATCGGCATCACAAAATTCATTCAGCCCCCAAGAAGATGATTATAGAAAAATACATGATGATTTTTCAAATACATTCGAAATACCGGAAGTATTTGAACCGACAGGTCCTATATATAAACCCGGCACTGGAAATATTCCAGTTGATGTCGAACAACTGAGAAAAAATAATCCACAAACAGAATTACTATGTCTTATGCTTGGCATTCGAAATCCAATTGATGTTATATTGAATAGAAAAATACAGCTTGATCAGACAAATTAAAATCCATTGATTTGTATATAGATATTGCGATGCAAAACAAAAAACAAATATTCATAGGAACATTGTCAAATGAATTTTCTTTTGTTTTTCAGATCATGTGATATAGTAAAAAAATTGATAATCTGATTAATCAAATAAATATCTTTCTTGCTCCGAAATCTTAGCACCACAGGACGTATTTGTTTTTTGATCGATGATGATTATAATTGCCCTCTTACAAAACGACAATCATGTTTATTCAGCTGAATGATTCATTTTTTTTTCTTTTCTACGACTAGTGGGTTTCTTTTTCGGCACGTCCTTGAAGAAACAGAACACAGTATATATTTAACAAGGAAAACAAGTGATTCAAGTCAGAGATAATGTCTTCTCGACGGAGTAGTATCGTGTCATTAGAAATGCTCAAATATGATGAAGATTGTCCACCCATTGAAAGTCTATCGCAAGAAACGGTTACATTCGTATTAGCAAAAAAAACGCCGGCGGTTGAAAATCCACAAGAAGCAGCTGAAAGTCTCTTTTCAAAACCATTAAATCACTTGAGACCTCGAATTAATCATGAAATTCTCGAACATGAAATAACACCAGAAGAATTAGATGCTGCTGCTCAATATGGACGATTTATGGAACGTCCAAGTGATTTATTTCTTAAATTATTTCATAATGTTCTATGCACATTAAGACGTGATCCATTAGCTGGTTGTGTCTCACCCAGTTTAATTGGTACCACCGGTGTTATACCATTAAGTATTATTTCGACAATACCCGACATCTTACAACATTATTATCATTGTATTATAAATGCAAAAAAAGAAATTTTACTCGCGACAAATTATTGGGAAAAAGGCGAAAGTGTAAATATTATTGGTAAAGCCTTAAGAGATTTAAGTAAACGTGCTGGAAATGACAATCGTTATATTATTGTCAAATTAATAATAGATCATCCGACAAAAGAAAATTTAATACACAATCATAATATTCTACCGCCGAGTAAATGGCCTGATTACGATATTCCATCGCCCGAAGAAATGCCCAATGTATCTCTTGAAGTAAATAATTATCATCGAATAATACTGGGAACATTTCATACGAAATTCATGATTGTAGATCGTCGAATGGTTTTATTAAATAGTAATAATATACAAGATCGACCGAATCTTGAAATGATGTCACATTTCGAAGGTGATATTGTCAATTCATTTTATGATACATTTCTTATATCATGGTGGATACCATTTAAACCACATCTTGTTTGTTTAAACGATGACGCATCTGCGCAAAATCATTTTCATTTTGGTATGAATAATACCAAACTTGTATCGATTCAACGACCATTACAACAAGCTATTGCACGAGCACGTTTACTACTTAAATGCCATTTAGAAAAACAAGCGCCAGATGTTTACCTCGACAAACATGTTCTCGTGGAAGAGAAAAAAACGAAAATGAACGGGCTATCAACAATCGCAATAAAAGCACTTGGTCAACATCGAAGAGTTCATTCACCGAGTGTTCTTGTTAAAGCAACCAATGATCTAACTGGAGCTATCGTTGGTGTTGATATGAATCCTCGTCCAGAAACACCAATGACCCATCATTTAAATCAAGCGGCGAAATCTGCTTATGCAACAAGACCCGATGAAAATTTATCCAGTACAGAATTAGAAACTCTAGCTTATGATTTTACACCGTTTATTTTTCATCAAGCACATGCACCATTTCCAATAGCTTTAGTCAATCGTTCACCCTATGGTAAACCTATACATGTTGATACAGCTAATCCACAAGATGCTGCATGGATGGGTGCTTTTCGTTATGCAAAAAAATCAATATTTATTCAATCACCTACATTAAATGCATCACCAGCTATTGATGGTATTATTGCTGCTTGTCGACGTGGTGTTATTGTAACGATATGGCTTGGATTAGGTTTTAATGATTCAGTTGAAGGTTTCGGAACATTTCAAGGTGGAACAAACGAACATGTGGTAAAGAAACTTTATAAAAAACTACGAGATGGTAATGATGGTGCAGTTACATATCTTCAAGTATATTGGTATACTGGAAAAGGTACGTTTCAAGAGAGACAAAATTCGCTTGTATCGTTTTTGTTATAAATAAATAGATCAAACACGTCCTCGTCATTTTTCTCACAAACAACGAAATTGTCATATTAAATTTATGTCTATCGATGATCAAGTTGCTATTATGGGTAATGGTAATATGGATAGTCAATCTTGGTTTCATTCTCAAGTAACATAGCCTTTTTTTTTTATTTAATTATTTTCATTTTCATTTTCATTTTCATGAGTAGGAAGTGAATGTTATGATTGATTCATCAGCGGTAGTCAAAGAATGGATGGATGCTCTCTATAAAAATCAATCAACACATCGATATGGTAGAGTTACTTTCGATTAGAAATCATATCGTTGTCAGGAACATTGATGAGTAATTGTACAGTAAAACTTTTGCAATTCTATAATAAATCTCAATATTCATATGTCATTCAGTTACAATTACTTTTAAGCACGTAAAGAGAGGGGGAGATGCTGATGGTGTGACCAAATTTGGTGCTGTAATTGTTCTTCACATAATATTGCGTACGGCTTTAGTAAGAATTCAATTTCCTTCACTGTAATTGATTTAATATACGAAGACGGTCTTTAGACCTAGCGCAGATCATCACTGGTAGCGGCAAACGAGCTGTATCGCCACATCAACAAAGAACACCCTTGAAAACACCATCTCCATGTGATTCCCTGCAGTAATTATGTCGTACTTTACATTTTTAATCCCAGATGGATTGCACTAGCAGGTTTTTTCGATGCTATTAAATGCTTTGATGGATTGAGAAAATGCGAGCAATATATTTTATTGAATCAATTTGATAGGGTGTGGGTGTGAATCCTCATATTCACTGAAATAACACACCCTGCGGACACAACATTGAGCAAGACATTTTAAATTGTTTTACCCTACGAAAGGATCAATGAATCACGAGGTGTTCAGCTTAAGTTCATTGTTATTCACATCTAAGTCTTATATACAATGAACGATCCAAATCGGAGCATAATACTACTTATCATAAATTAAATATCACCTCTCTACTTCTTTTTCGACCTAACAAAATTGAACAGGCTGTTTCATGAAATTCTATATGTTTAGGTCGAAAATGGTAGATTCCTGTTTCGTCGAAAAATTTGATACACTTTTTTCCATCATTCCCGTTTCGTCGAAAAATAAATTGGAATGAAGAAGAATATAAACAGAGTGATGAGCTCAATTTCTTTGATTGATTCAAACTATTTACTTAAACATAAACTAATTGATATTCCTATACTAGTAATCTGTAATTTTGCAAATATATATAGATGTGGAGTAAAAAGAAAAAATTCATTTATTTTGCTATATTCATTCATTATTACACAAAATGATGCTGCCTATTGTTGAAAGTAAACGTAATAAGCCAACTTTATTATTTGATACTTTTCGCTACACACAAGATAAAATTTGAATTTTTTTTCTTTTTTCTATCCATATTTTTTCTTAATAATTTCTCATTTATGTATCTAAATCTGCTCTATAATAAATTTTTTGTTGACAAATTTACTTGCAAGTAATTGGGCACTATTTATGATTAGTATGACGAAAAAATTTCATCAAGTGATTAATTAGAATTTATTTTTCGACGAAACGGGACCTAACCGTCGAAAATGATGCGCTGTTGATGGAAACAAAATTGAAACGAATATTAAGAAAAAGCAGAAGTCATGTTACTAATTGAATTTACAGTGTTGTTCAATTATGTTTGATTTGGACGCAAGAAACAAAAAAAACTATCAACAGATCATATATTTGTTCACTATGAAATCTTGTTGTACAACAACTATGTTAAATTTCACGTGAACATCGTTACTGTAATATTTATTTTCACCAAGGGATATAATCGAATTTACAGAATGTTCTGAGCAAAACCAGTGGCATCAAATTATTTTATATTCAAAAAGTAATTTGTTTTCTTTTTAAAGATAATGTCCGATCGTACTTTCCAAGTATAACAAAAAGAACACACTTCATAATATCTAATTTAATTATAATGTGAATACATCTGATGAACTATTATTTTAGAAGTCGCTTAAAAGGACCCCGCCAGATAACTCAAGTTAATCTTATAGAAAAACGGAATACATGATTTTGTAGAGCGCGAAAAGTTACATATACTGGTGCATGAACCAGGTAGGTTTGTATTATATTTAAAAACATTTTCTTACATGCAAAGCAAATCGACACGTCCAATATTTTGTATTCAAGGAGTCATTTTGTCATAGAGAAATAATTCTTTTACAAAAGCTTTACCCTCTATTGTCTTATGTAGTTTTGTAGAGCGAAGCCCGCTCTACAAATTCACATCACTCAATATCCCATGCCACAATAAAACAAAAAATTTTCACCCTAAAATAAACAAAACTCATAAAAAAAATCAAAATGGTTTTTATTCATATTTTTGTGACTCTCCGTTGTATTTCAAAACATAGCGGTAACAACGTGATTTTTTCTCTCGGAAACTACCCTTGATCATGCTCTATCATCATCCATAAAAACAATGTTGAAAATCGAAGGGGCTGGGGAATGACGCAGTCAACATTCTAACAACTATGACAATTTTTCGTCATTTTTACAAACTGTTTTTTGGTGTTTTTTTCACTAATCGTATTATGAAAGTTTCTGAAAATTTCAGTGAATATAGCAATCATGAAGAGGAGTTGAAACTGTATAATACTTACAAGTTTTCGTTCTTTTTTTCTTTAGACTATGAATGACAATCACGCTTAGAATTGCTCTATTTTTCTCCTCATCGTAGAAACTTCATTTTATATTAATCAAATTACATTTTCACAAGCAACACAGCGAAAATGCATATACTTATGTTTTCTTCAATGAGAGTATACAAATAAAATAACTATTATAAGGAAAGATGTAATTTCAACAAAGTATCAAAATCTTGAAGAAGTGCGTACATTCTAATTTTCTACACTGTGCTACAGTGAATGAAATTTGTTGGCAGATTCAGCTAATGTTCAATATGAATTACATGCATCACTTATTAAAAAGCGTTGCAAATAAAAATAGTACGATAGCAAAATATGTGTTTTTCATGAGATGCTTAGTTCGACTTCGAATATAAATCGACATCTCAATAACTATTTACAATTCGAAAAAAAATGAAAAAAAATCGCGCCCATTTAAAAACCATCCCAAAACAAAAGATAAAGATCGCCAAACTGGCAGCACGTTTATAATTGAGGAATAGATTTAGATTTCCTTTTTATGATTCATAAAATTTATAATTCGAATTCGACTTCGCTCCCATATATAATTAGGAATACCTTCAGATTTCCATTTTGTAAATTATGTCAGCAATCAAGGGGAAAATCGCTTCTTAAGAAATATTCGGCTGACCGTATCTCCTAGCTAAAAAATACTACGGATCTAAAATTATTTTTCACATACGTCTCAGCGACACATTCAACGATGCTACTCGCAGCTTGGTATGGGAGACCTTTCGGATTGAAACTTTCACGAAAATCGATTTAGGCACTACATATTGAAGATTCCAGATAACTGCATTTCCTTCCCGATTTTCTTCTCTCCAATATCTAACTACCCGAGTATCATGAATGGAAAAAAATGTGTTATCGTCGGCATTATTTTAATGAGAATGAACAGCTTCTTTTTTTTTTATAGATAATCAATAATGAACAGGAAATAAAAACGTGCCATTTTGAAAAATAGAAATTCGATATTGTTTCAAATTTTTATAGGAAGTAAATGACATCTACAGTAATCCATAGTTTACCGAGTTGGAAACAAGATAAAAAGAAAAACAAATGTTTACTTGACAAAAAAAAATGACCTCTGACGATATTCGTTTGGGTGATATAATTGTTGAAGGTGATAGTGGTAGTATAGTCCTGGTAGGATTTCCATATGATGAAGGTGTACGAAGAAATAATGGACGAGTTGGTGCAAAACATGGTCCCGATTCATTTCGTCAATTATTAAAACGAACAGGAACTGTTGTTAATGCTGAATATGATGATTTAGATCTACGAAAATATTTAACTATTTCTGATGGAGGTAATATTAATGCTGACTTAACTTTAGAAGAAGCTCATCAACAATTAGAAAGTCGTATTCGACAATTAATATCAAATGGGAAAATTCCATTTGTTGTCGGAGGTGGTAACGATCAATCCTATCCTAATGCTTCTGCTTTATTAAATCATACGACGAAATCAATCTATGTTATTAATATTGATGCACATCTTGATGTTCGACCATTGAAGGAAAATAATAAATCTCATTCTGGTTCACCATTTCGATTATTACTTGAAGATCAAAAATTTCATCAAAATCCTTCAAGTATGATGATTTTATTTTTCTATAAAACAAACTAAACCGTTTTTTGATTCTGTAGATCGATTTATTGAATTTGCAAGTCAAGGATCTCAATGTTCTATAGAACATGTGAATTATCTTCGTTCAAAATCTCCTTTAACTCAAATATTTTGGTATCAATCAATTCGTGATAACCCATTGGCACCTTTTCGTACGATACTAAAATCAGCCGAAGAACAACAAAGTGATATATTCGTATCATTTGATATCGACTCCATTATTTCATCTTCATGTCCAGGTGTTAGTGCACCGGCAACCGTAGGTCTTACTGCTCAACAAGCTTGTGATATCGCTTTTTATGCTGGAGAATCTTTACAAGTTAAACTAATGGATCTCAGCGAATATAATCCACTAATCGAAGACTATCGAACAGGAAAACTTGTAACACTTATTTTTTATCATTTCGTTCTCGGACGAGCAAAAGCGATTCGAGATTTAATGCAATAATAAATTTATCTTTCATTTTAGATATAAGATGCTCTCGTCAACCGTACGTCTCTTAATGCGTAGTGGATCACTATTGCGACCCCTGATAATCACCGCTCGGCCACTCTCTATAAAACCCACTCTGATCAATTTAACTGAAAAACGCAAAACATTAATCAATGAAATACCACGTCGTTGGTCTCATGTTCATTATACATATCCAATGATTGAAAGTCGTGTTATGCTTCTATTACGTTTATTTGATAAAATCGATTCAAATTCACTCAAATTAGATTCACGATTCGTTCAAGATCTTGGTCTCGACTCATTAGATATTGTCGAAATAACAGCTGCATTAGAAGATGAATTTTGGACTGAAATTCCCGATTGCGATTCTGACCATTTTGCAACACCCCGACATGTAATTCAATATCTATGCGACAAATACGATGTTTATGAACATATCGAACCAATATCAGCTGGAAAAGAATATTTAGAAGAAGCTAAAGCTGCTGCTGATCGAGCACATCATTAAATTAACAAAACTTTCTCTTTTCTTCTTCTTTTTTTCCTGTAGTTTTGTTAATAAAAGTTATCCTCTTTTAAATAACCAGAAATGTTCTTCCGATCTTGAGACAGTACAGCACGAATGCAGTATTTAAAAAAAACAAAAGGACAGACAGAGAGAAAAAAAACAATAAGTGTTTATGTGTACACAAAAGATGTCAATGAAATAAGAAGGATCAATATGGCATATCCAAAACAAAACAAGAAAGAATTTCAAAACTTGTGCTTCCATTTTTCAAGATTAAATATGGTAGTTGACTTTTTTCTCCACTACGAGGCGATAAAAAGAAAATGCGTATAGAAACGAGCAGATGTAACGCGCATGAACAAAAGAAAATGAACTAAGAATAAGAAACGTCTATTGTAAGTGCATATACATATATATCAAGATGATGGTTCGTTATTCGGCAATACTGTTTTTGTTTGATGTTCCGGAGTCGACCAAATTCGAACAGTTGCATCATCGGATGCTGATGCAAAAACGAGCGGTGAGGTCGGATGCCATGAAACACAATTGACAGTACGTGTATGGCCTGAAAATACCATGATGGGCCGCTCTTGTCGTCGATGCCATAGGTAGACTTTCGAATCTTCACTACCACTTGCGATGAACTCTTCATTGGGTCCACCGAATGTTGCATGATTGACATAGTTACCCTGTGTTACACCTTGATATTTGCGGACCAATTGTTTATCATGCAGATCCCATAGATGAACACCCTATTAGAAAATTTATCCGGGTGAGTTATGCACAAATCTCTACCCGAATTTTACCTGTGTAGCAATATTCAAAAGTGCTAATCGACCGTCTTTGCTAACAGTAAACGACATAATCGGATGATCTTCGTGAATTCTAAAAGAGAATACAAAGCATAATCTTCTCTTCGAATAAAATATTCGTACATTTGTTGATCGGTTAAACTATCGAATTTATAAGAACTAATACGTTTTTGTGCATCGGCTGCTAGAATCAATCCATCATGCGTTACATGTAAACATTGAAGTCGAACACCTTCCCAACTATCAATAACATTACCATCAATATCCTAAAAATTGAAAATTTTGCAAAATAATCTTTATTTTTCTCGTTACACATACACAGTAATAGAATTGTCCACGTGATCCTCCGCATACAAATCGCTGTCCACATGGTAACCATGCAGCGCAAGTTAAACTATCTTCAGGTGTATGGGTCATACGTGATCGCTGTTCTTCTTGCTATAGCAAATAATAATAAAACGAATAATTATTAAATAGTTCCCGAACAGAAATTTACTTCAACATCCCAAATCCACAATTCATTACATTCATCTGTTCCACACGCAATAACATATCGACTAAATGGACACCAAGCAATACAACCAATGCCGAATGAATGTCCTTCAAATTGTTTTCTTAATTTCATTTTATAGGTTTCCTTAAAAGAAATGCTTTTTGAAAATTTATATCCCAATATCTACAATCTTACCAGGTCTACATCATAGATATGCAAATAACCATCTTTGGAGCCAGTAGCAAGTTTAGTTCCATCAGGAGAAAATTTACAAAACCAAACTTCGTCTGAATGTTCAGTTAAAGTTTGTATTGTAACACAAGGAAACGTTTGTCTAAAGCGCAAAATATAGATCTGTAATTTAATATGTTTGAAACAACATACTTCGAACACGCATGATCCTTGAGCAATGAAACATCTTCGAGTGTTAATGTTCCTGGTTTAACATGGTATGTACATCGTTCTTGTTGTAGTTCAACAGCTTGAGTTAGAAGGGATTCGAGACGTTTGGGTGGTAACATAACATCCGGAGGAAGAAATTCTTGAAGAAAATAATTCGTTTATTAAAATTCCGAGAGAAAGATTCCTTTTTTTCTTTTTACTCTGTAATTTTTCCATAAGATTTTGTCTTGATAGGAAACCTTTACCACTCCAATTAGCGGCTTTGTACATGTCTTTCATTGAATTAAACATAAGAAATCTAACGTGAACAAAAAAACAACAATTCTCTGATATGAAAATTTAGAGCAAAAACTTCATACGTGGTAAGTTCATGTGTACGTTCAGTACGAATTTTTAATCCTTGAATTTCATATCGTAAACATTGCAATGCTTCCATAGCATGATTATCTTCAATTAATTCGAAATATTTTTGTTCAAGAATTAAATATTTCATTTGCTACAAGGAAAAACACAACAGATATTTTTGAAAAATGTTGTATGCGTTATTTTACTTGAATGCCATCGCGTTCTTCAATATATTGTTTTAATTTTTCAAGTGCGACTATTGCCTTCAGGAGGAAATAACGATTGTATTAGTAGTGATTCGAAATCAATAAAACTTACTTCAGTCCATTTTCCTGACATAATAAGTTCTCGAAAATTCGATGCTTGTTCATGTTCTAATACGCAACCACTTTCATGGATAAGGATATCAACTGTTTTACTAATAAAATGAAACAACAGATTTACCTGTTGATCGTTCAATAAATAATATTTTACCTTAGTCCAACACTTTGTAAATGTTGTCCAATAAGTCTTAAAACTTCTTTTTGACTATTTGAAAATGTTCTCGACGAATTCGAATCTCCATTTGAAGGATACGATGAACCAGTGATAATTGTTTGCGTTGATGATGTTATGAAATGATTATTATTTCCATTGGCAGATGATGCTTCATGTCCGTTACTACTTGATACATTGGCTGCCGATGATGGTGATGGTATCGTTGGTGATGTTAAACCATTTAGATGATGTGTTAACCGTTGAGTTTGCTGTTTAAGGCGTTCAGAATTATTGTTATCATTAGGATCAGATGCTAATGGAAGAGGAGTTGAACTTGCAGTTGCTGCATTATCCAAAGATAATGTTTGTTGTTGGCCTCCGGAGTTTGTAGATGTACTCATAGTTGGATGTTGGCGATTGGAATCTTTATTACGAGTTGATCGAGTAGTATTCAAGCGCGCTCGCTTGGGTGGTGGACACCCGGCGACGTCTTCGTCCGAGCTTGATGAGGCCAGTATTGCGAGGAGGGTATCGAAGAATGACTCATACGGAAACAGTGAAAAGACGTAAACGTAGCGACGGCGTAACAGAGACAGAGAGAGAGAGAGCGAAAAAACAAAGGAAAAGAGAGAAAACAAACGCACGTCGAAATTAGATAAAATAGAACGAGTCCTATGGAAAAATGAAACGTCGAATGAAAATCTTCGAAATTGAATGTAGAAAAATCAAGGTCAAAATCAATACGAATGAAATATCTAAATAGAAAAATAGTGACTTTGCATTTCCGTTATCTAGTGAGTTTCTAATCGAACATTCAGCTAATAAACAGCTGTTGAGCTGTTGATCACTCGTGATTAAGAGAACATAAGAGAGAGAGAGAGAGAGAGAGAGAGAGAATCATGTCATTTGATTTGTAAATAACTTTTTTTTCCAACCGATTTTTACATTTAAAAGTCTAAATTCTTTTTTTAATAATTTCCCCCGGAAATATTTCTCATAAAAAATAATAATAATAACAAAATGTAAACGGTGGACAATAAAACATTTTTTCATTGATCTAAAATTTTCTCCAATCATATTAAGCCATATACAAATAGAATTGGTCTAGGCGAGCGACATCTAGTCTTTGTTTTCTGTTCGTTGGAGGGAAAACGTATTTGTCATTGTAACGATTTGCACACACGATTTTACTTTTATCCGAATGACTGCCGAAAAAAATAAACTACAAGTAAAATCTATTGATTTCTTTAGAAAAAAAAGTTGATTTACAAGATTTTTGATTTTTAGCTTCCAAATATTAAAGATTTTATTTTTCTAAAGACCATCAGTCGAGGTGGTTATGGGTGAGTTCCCATCACCGATAAGTCGAAAAACATTGATCGTTGTTCATTTAGACGAGTTTATTTAGCGACAAAGAAAACTGATGAAAATAAAACAAAATATGCCATTAAAGTTATTAATAAACATGATATACGAAGAAAAAATTTAATTGATCAAAGTAAAAACTTCATTTATGTTCTTTTTTTAAAACTTTCTTTGTCAAAATAGTTCTCAATGAACGTGATGCATTAGCTACAATGCATAGTCAATTCGTTGTTCGCTTGTTTTATTCACTACAATCCAAAGATGAAATATACTTAGTTATGGAATATATGATCGGCGGCGATCTCATGTCATTTCTATGCATAAAACAAGTACTCGAACGACACGAAGCACAATTTTATGCTGCTGAAATTGCACTTGCACTCGATTATTTACATCGAAAAGGAGTTATTCATCGGTAAAACGAATAGAAGAAAACAATTCTTTGTAAAAATTTTATTTTGAAGGGACTTGAAACCGGATAATGTTTTAATATCATCGACTGGCCATATAAAATTAACTGATTTTGGATTGTCAGAAATTCGAAACAGACGCAGTAAGTGTTTACCTTCACTATCAGCAGGTCCAATGAATTTATTTTCTTTGCAGAAGTATCAGTGGCCGATGTGATTGGTACTCCATCTGTCTGTAAAGTACGTGTATTTCGTACGCCTGGTCAAATCATTTCACTCACATCAGACTTCAGTTTTGTAAGTCTCCGCTGAATAGTTCGTGCTTTTCGTTTATACTAAATATTCAATTTTGAAGTCATCAAGTGATTCAGATTCCGATCATTTACACATCTCAACATCAACACATAGCAATCCAGCTAGTGGAACATCCAATGATAATGTGTCCATTAACAATAGTTTTCATCGTTCATTTTCAAATTCACGTGCTATTGATTGTAGTCTACGAGTTTATCGACAACCGTTACCTTTGTGTATACCGGAAAATGAGCCGATCTCATTCAGACATGACGATATCGATGAACATGATGATACAAGTACAAGCAATCTATCCGATTTTTTATTCTGCAGTCCAAAAGGACGATCACCCACCACACTACAAACTGTTAAACAGCAGCCTCGTGTCTATCCAAAAACGATATCGAGATTACTTGCATCATCACCAGCGCATCAAAGTCAATTTCGTTTATTTCGTGGTATGGGTCCAGCTTTAAATACAGCAAGTGCACTAGCTGTGCCAACATCAGCTTCGCCATGTCTATCACCGATTCGTTATTCACTTGATATATCATCGATTAATCAGCTTCAATCGATTCATATAGACGAAGAACCCATAGAAGCCTTGCAACAACCTATTCTTCGTCCACAACTAATCGATGACTCTTCAATGAAGGTTTGCAGTCGAAAAAAAAGAAATTTTTTCCTCATCGAAATATTCATAATTTAGTCGGTATGTCGAGCGCAAAATGTATCCAGCGGTCGGATATTAACCGATGTGACGAACAATACATCAGTTCGAAGTAGTTTTTTCAAATCACCAACACATCTAGCTGCTTCCGGGCCTATTTTGGGTACACCTGATTATCTTAGTAAGATAGAAAAATTTGTTTTTCAATCAATAAATGTTTTTTGGTTTTAGGTCCCGAAATATTAATGCAAGATGAAAATCATAGTAAGTCTTGAATTTTATATAAATTTTGACGTAGAAATGGTTCGTTTTTAGCTTCAGCTGTTGATTTTTGGGCACTTGGTGTGTGTCTGTTTCAATTTCTTGTTGGTGTAACACCATTTTCGGATGATTGTCCACGTGCGATCATATCGAATATTTTAAATAATCGTATCGCATGGCCCGATGATGATGAAAATGAATTAGACGAAGATTCAATAAATGTAATTAAAGGTCTACTGAGTTACGATCCGAGTTTACGACTTCAATTAGATGGTAAATAATTTAATGGAATTTCATAAAAATCTTGATTGACATTTTTAGATCTGAAAAAAGAGGTGTTTTTTAATGGAGTTGATTGGGAAAATCTTATGAATATACAGCCACCCTTTATTCCAGCGCCTGATAATGATTCAGATACATTTTATTTTGAAGGTAAATTTTCATTTCATTACAAAAAATGTTTTCTTTAATTTTTTTTTCAAATTTAGCTCGTAACCGAGCCATCGGTTTCGATGACGAATCAGTCGATAATTATTCGATGCTTTAGAAAACGATTATTTATGCCACGGCTCGTAACAGTAGATTATTTTTTGCTTAGAAAATTTGTGCATGTGTTTTCGGCGTGTATAGAATTATTTAATCGCCGTCGTTCATACGTTGGATATCTTTCTTTCCTTTTTTGATCTTGTATTGTTCGTTCTCTCTGCTGTGTGTGTGTCTATATTGTAAAAATTCTTTGTTAAATACGCGTGCATGTATTATGGTAGATGAAATATGAGTTGTTGTATTTAAAAAGTAAAGAGACTCGTAAATTGCCTTTGAAATCAATGACATGCTGTGTTAGAAGAGAGAGGGAGAAAAAGAATTTCTGTCAATGAAATCAGTTTAATAAACGTCATTATGTCAGAAAGTAAGAAGTTTTATGTTTTGAAGCATCGAAATAAACTATTTCAATAGGTCGTGAGAATCTGTCGACAATGGTTGAAATCGGAGCTCGGTCTTCGTTGAAAACGATCAAAGAGCTCGAGTCGTGTGATGATGATCAATCGTTCGAAGAATTTAGACAATTAGCAACGAAACTGAAAGTCGATACGAATCGGTTTCTCGCTCTTTGCGATAATGTTCGACATTGTCTATCGCGAGTGGATAATTCCACGTTTGAAATATTGGAATTAAAAGATAAACTGCTTCTTCAGTTTCTACCATTGAATGTATCGTTGAGAATCACATTCGTTCTATCGCAATTTTTTCGAGCCTATTCAGAAGCACACATACCGATTAATGAACTTGTTCGTCTAACTGAATTATACAGCGAGCCGTTTGATATAAAATCGGTTGCATTGAAAAAATTATGCGAAAGTAATGAGACGAAAGGACGCTTGCTTAAACTTGCTTTTCAACAATTGACATCAATGGAAGTTCACACAAAAAAATATCAAGATCAAAAAAATGTTAACCATTGGGAAAAAATGTAAGTGAGAGACAGTGCACATCGATTGATTTATAGTTCAATGAAATCTCGACAGGTACATTCGTCTTGCACTACCACGAGCAAATACGCGAAAATGGAAATTTCGTATAAAAACATTTCGAGAAGTAGCAAATCGTAGAGAAAGAATTATTTTTGTATAAAATTTTTATTGCACAGGAAGCAAGACTCGGATATGAACATGTGATTCAATGGCTTCATGGAGACGTACCGCAACCAATGAAAGAACTCATCGATGATGAGTACACTGACCAATTTAATTCAACCGATGAACTTATTACGATGGTATCTGCGAGCCAACAAATGTCACAAAACGATCATGTCTGCTATGATGAGGACACGGAGATTTTTTTAAGTAGCAGCATCATAGAAGAATCAAAATTAATCGAATCAAAATCGATGGTGATGACAGTCGATGCTGAAAACCAAATACGACCGGATGTTGATGATCAACAAACCTCCACTCAAGATATTCTATCAACTAAGTAAAAGATTAATTTTTTTTTGCAACTATGTAATCATTTTCTACTACTTTCAGGGCGCTGATTATGCGTTTCTATCGACCGATAGGAATGGACTATAGTAAATTTCAATATTTTGTTCATGCTCAAGGGCAAATATATAAAACGAATATCTTTAAAGCTGCGGTATTTATTTTAGTTTATTTTTTCTCTAAATAAAAATCTGTTTTTTTGTTTGTTAGAACGATCGACGCCAAGCAGATGAACTCATGGTTGCCATGCCGAGTTCTTTCAAACGTCGTTCATTATTTCATATAGATCAAGATTCTATAAAAATCGATGTTTTCGGCGATGATAAATTCTGTGGATCATTAAACATTTCATCGGAAGATTTACGAATGCTTGTAAGAGCTAACTATGGATATCAAATCTATAAAACAGACATGAAATTTTAGGATTTACCCAATTTGCATAATTCAGTAGCTACCGATAATGATGCATCGCTATTGAATCATCAGCATGATTTCGATCAACGATCATCGAATATTTATCAATCATGGATTTCTCGTACACCCCAATTATTTTCAATTTATGATCCGGACGATGAATCGATTGGTAAATTACCATTACTAATGTTTTGGTATAATAAAACCGAACAAACTCATTCAACAAAATCTACAAGTAAAATAACGGAATTCATAGAAATGAAAATTATTTATAGTTTCTAGTGACAATTCCAATGGATTTCGATGAATCCACATCGAAAGTCACTTCTACTCAACATAGTGAAGTGACTGAAAGTGTTACAATGTCAGTCAGCACCAAAACAACAAATGACAATTTTGAATTGAATATCTCAGAAATCGTCGATGATCCTATGGAACTTCTTAAAACAGCTTATGAAAATGAAATAACAAAAATTCATGAAAATTATCAGTAGGTCATTATGTAATTTTGAATCGGAATGAATATTGTTCTCTTCAGAGCGGAAATCTATCGATTAACAAATCTTTTGAATGGATTATTATCTCAACCACCAACAGAAGAAAATCAATTCGAAAACATCTCAGAAGAAACTGTTGTAGAACAGCCGTCATTGCCAAATAAATTTCTTAATCGTTATAAAATGCACACGGAAAAAAGTACGGCACATCGTCGTGAATTAATTACGAAAATTGAACAAGAAACGACATTAGCTAATGAACGTCAAATGGAAATGCAACATCGTTTATATAAACCAAAAGAAACTCACGCATATAATGATGGTAAGAGAATTTTAATTGTTACTGTGCTTAATTGCTTTTTTTTCATCTGCTAGATTTATGTTTACCTGCTGTTTTTATGCCTTTCCGTTCGGGTCATATTTTTAACCCAAGAGCCTATCAATTTTTTCATTCCATTGGTAATTATGAGTTTTCTTTTTGTTCATTGAATTTTTATTTCACTTATTAAAGGTTCAACTAATCCTCGATTAACTCAAGCACCCACTATTTTAAAACTTCCGCCACTTCCGTCTGGATCAGTAGGTGTTTTTCCTTCGTTTTGAATAACTCTATTTCTCCTTATGCTCATAGGTTTCTGTACTAAATCTATTTGAATTAAGCCAACGTTACGATAATTCAAATGAAAAAACATAATCTTATTGAGCAAAACAAAAAAAAACTAATATCGATTAAAGCATCAAATCATAAACAATAGTTTATTCTATTATCATCACCGGGTTTGTTCGTGGGCATTCGTATGTTCATATTTCAATAAAAGCAAAAAAGATTCTAATGACCGCCAAATCGATATTTGTTCATACTTCGTTGAATACTTTCCGATGCTTTCGAATGTGTTAATGATATATGACGAGTATTTGTAGTGGTGGCGAGAAGTGCAGGCGGATATTCAGGGCGTACACGCACAGTTTCGTAGGGAGCAGGTTGAGATCGTTTGCTTTCCAGAATCTAAAGGAATTCAATTGCAATAGGGAGTTTATTTTTGAAAGAGAACGAAGAATGTTTAGCTTACGGGAGGAGTTGGTGTTCGACGTGAGACGGGTAGATTTTCTTGATTACTCATCAGAAAGTACATTGTCGGTTTTTTCTTCTCGTGATCATCGAAATGTGTCTTTTTTTCTTCATTGAAAATCGTTTTTGGATGATCGTTCAGAGCAGAAGGTGTTCGTCGAATAGGCTCATCGGATGTTTTTAAATGATACATTTCTGGTTTCTGGTCGGAAAAATTGCCCAGCGGTATTGGTGTAATTCTATTGTTGTTTGTCACGATGGGTGATTGATGGCGACTTCGAATTTCATGATTGTTTTCCGCTGCTTTCAAATGATACATTTCCGGAGCAGTAGTCGACGGAGTAAACGAACCACGGATCGGTGGCGAATAGGATCTAAATGGCGGCGGATCATTATCCATCGGTTGATGATCATCCTTTGTATCGATGTAAAATGCTTGTGACTTTTTTGGATACGCATTTCCATTGGTTCTCGGTGTATATTGATCATTGTCAACAGTGGATGGTGGTTGACGACGTCCAAATTTATTTTCCGCTCGTCGTGGTGTGATCGTGTCTGGCATGTTGTTTCTCTTTATTAAATTAAGCGTTTTAATATTCGACACGAATAAGTACACCGATTGAGAAAATTTTTACCATTTTATTTTATTTTTCTTGCACAGTTCGTGCACAAAAGCGGAGTAGAAAAAAAAAGTTAAAATGTGTGTCAATAGAAACAATGCAATACTCAATATTTACTCGTAGGTAGGCGGTTGAAGAATGGCGAGAAATGAAGAATGAAAATGTTAAAACTTAAAAGAAGAAAAAAAAAGAATAAGTCAAAGATCGATTTCTTTTTGATGTTAGTCATGATGGAAGAGTTGTTATGGATGGATATTTTTTTTGGTTTGACACGTTTATCTTCTAATTGTTTTGTAATTCTTGTTAAAAATCGACATTAACATTGAATGATGTTGATATTCAAGGTCATAATGATCTTTGCGAGAAAATTCACTTTATTTTTCCGTCGTAAGTCTAATGAACTTTTAGTAATCAGATGCTGACATCAGACATTTCTTGTCTAACTGAACGTGTGTATTCAGATCTCCGAACATTGATTTGCATGTCAACTTCATTTTCAGTCATCCGATAAAAAACCTTAATTAACATACTAAATTAAGATTGTCAATCTAGCTCAATGCATATGCAATAACAATATGAAATTGTGTTATTTGCTATGCCTTTTGATTTTTTGTTTCAAAATATTTAGCTCATCATGTATCCATGTCAATCAGAACACATCCTTTTGTTTTTTGTTCAATAGCAAAAAAATTCTCCAATTTATGTATGCGAAAAATATATAATCAATAATAATGAATAGATAATTAAATTATGATACAAACAAGGCAACGAACGAAACAATCAATTTTTTTAATCGACACCTACTACAATGGATAATGTGTCGAGATTTTCCTAATAGAATTTCTAGAAATTCTTTTTCTTACGACGACGATGATGATGTTTTCCAAGCTTGTTAGCAAACATACACATGCTTTAGTGCGTCAATTTTGATTGCTATACATGGCTTTGTGTATTCATAACGATATTTGTCGTACTACATAGAGATTGGTTCCGAACGGATGGATGCGCAACACATGCAGTTAAATCTGATAGGCTCTTTTATTTTCGCATTCATCTTTCTTTACATATACTTGTGACTATCGAAACAATAACGATACGTAGTTTTAGCCATGCATACAGAACAAAATTGATTAGTCATTTTTGTCTTATCCTTTTTTCTTCTGCTCCTTCACTCGTTCTTGTGCTTAGTATCTAAATCTACATGCTTTTGGCGCTATCTACGTATGACGACTTCTCATTCACTGTAGCGCATGCGTGTTTACTGGTAAGAAAGAGAAAGCAGCATCTAATGTTGCCATGTTCAATATTTTCTCACTAGAATTTGTGACGGCATTCCAAAGATAGAATGAGAAGAACAAGAAAGAAAGGGAGAGAGAGAGAGAGAAACAACTCACTCGCCATTCATTCATTCGTATGGCAACAACGCAAATCGTTTGAGGCAAGACTTTGAGGATTCTTTTCTTTTGTTATTCATTGTCGTCAAAAAAAAAGAAAGAGGAACCTGAGAAAAATCGTCAATGTTCAATGGATGACACTGAAAAGTACTGCTGATGATCGTCGAGTATTTATATATATATATATATATATATATACACGCGAGCGCTTAATAACATCCCTTTCCTTTTCGGTCTCAATGATGAGTTGCGTTGATATAATAGATTCCAGAGAATTTCTTTCCCTTATGTTCTCTCGGCTTTTTTTCTTCTATCAGTGTGCATCTCCTGCTAATAGTAAGGCAAGAAGAGAATAAAAAAAAAAGAGAAAGAGGAAAAATAGTTCCTCCCTAAACTCGCGTTTCTTTTTTTGCATGCGTGTTCACAAAGGCAAGTGCTAGAGTATCATAATCAGATACCATAGAGCGTCCTATAAGACATTAACATCAACAAGCATACGATGACAACGAAAAGAAATGTAAGTACATAATTTATAATGAATTCATTCATACAATTTTGTTTTTTCATATTTCGAAAAGTTCATGCGTGTGCTCATCATAATGATGAGAGCACGAGAAGATCGCATATTATTTATAGTTACCGAGAAAAGGCATCGCTTATTTGAGACGGACATCCGTTTGGGCTTCCATGTTTCAAGGGCTTCACATGAAAATGAAGAAGCCTTCAAAACTGAACACAAACGCAGGAGAATAGGTCTTTTTCTTTCTTTATTTCATGATCGATCTGGCTTATTTGCAATAATAGAAAAAAAGAAATGAACATATTAAAGTTTTTTTTCTCTATAATTTGTATGTGGCCGTTTAGACTCGCAAAACTAATGATTATATCTTCAAGTAGTTCTCAGGGAAAAAAACGAGCATTAATTGCTCTCCGTCGCGTCCAATTATTTGTGAAGAACTCTTTTCCCTATAAGAGATGTGTAAACAACTCATTTAAAAAAAGAACTGATTTATTTACATAGAAATACAGGGTTTGATTTTGATTTTGATTATTGTTTTTGTACTTCTACGAAGTACAAATTCAGTGGTGTGCGTCAAGTCTCTAAAGATTATCCGCGATATAAAAATGATACATTGGTCTCAGTATCTCTTCCATGTGAATAATATATAAACTATTCACAATTGATCAGCTTCAATATACATAGATGACAGCTAAACCATAAGATAATGCTCATAGTAAATTTAGCAAGAAAGCAATTAAAAAATTTTTTTTTGTAAAAAAGAAGAAGAAGAAGACGTTCATGTGAAATATTTTATTTTCCCTATTGCTTCCACGCGAATATCAACCGGAATATTTTACATAATGGGTTAGAGCGCTGTAAAAAAAAGAAAAGAAAACGTATTTCCCCACAAAATTTTAATGAGAATATTTCCGCTGCTGTTTATTCTGATGTATCGAAGGAAGCGAGGTAGACTCGGTAGCATGATATCGCCGGCACGAGACTGTTTATCTTTAGTGGGATCGCCAAGTGCTCGGCACCAGAAATTTCTTTTGTGTTAAATAGAAAAATGCGATCTCAATGGCCTTTTATGACCGACATATATCAATATAATGGAAGGCATAAAAAGAATGCTTTCTATAAAACAATAAATGTCATCTTATTCACATTTATAATAGAATATTTTCTAGCTTTAGATAACCATCATAATGATGCTGAATTAAATGGCTCAGTTTACACGTTTTGTTGCGATTGAAGATAAGTTCAATACGAAGTAGGCTATAGAAAAAATTCATTTTTTTCTTCTGATCTATTGTTTTTTCTTCTCAATTTTAGCTTATTTACATTTATTCTTCCAAGTACATTTCTATTAGGAGCAGAAGAAAAGTTAACTACAAGAGAATTTTTCTGTCGTAATATTCCATTTGCATTAACATTCGTTAAAAATGGCGACCAATTAAATGCTTTCCTACTGCATCGTAGTCGTGATACAGAAACACTTGAAATGACACTTGATTTAAGTGTTACACTATTATGTCGCGAACATTTTACACGTAACGAATCATTCGTTGAGAAAAATTGTAAATTCACAAATAAAATTACTTTGCATGGACGAAAATCTTTTACATCGATCAATCGTTTGTGTTCAGTTGACTTTATGGACGAACGTGGCAATATTCAATGTGAACTTGAAATAAAAAATCTTCTTGTTTCCTACATAGCAGAAATACAACTGCCGCCACATTTAGTTAATATACAGTATCCACATAATGCACAATCGGCAGCAAATCGACAGCCATTGGATGCGAAAATCGAAACGCCCATTTTCTATTATTCAAACTACGAATGGTGTGTTGTCATTCAGCCGAAACTTGATAGTGTTGGACAAATTGGGCATTTTCGAATGTTTATACAACGTTTAACACCGTGTGATCATTCAGTTAAATTAACCTATCGAGTTAAACTAACAGCTGGATCGTTCATATGGGATCCGAATCATGAGAAAAAAGCAACAAATGCAAATGATAATAGTACGTATGAAACAAACTATACCGATATTCATGGTTTATGTCGACCGTATAAAATCGATCGTGTTCGTGAATTACTGCAAGCTAATGGAAAATTTACATTGACTGTTGAACTTAAAGATGCTATTAGTAAGAACGAGAAAATTAAATTTTAAAGTCTTTAGAAAATTAAAATTTCTATTTAGCTGTCTTCCCGATTATGGTTGATCCGTTTGCGACAAATCCTATTCCGGTACCTTTTCTCGATAAAGATCAACAGGCATGGACTGTTGAAGCTTATATAGAAGAGCAATGTTTTATAATACGTTTATATTATTCGGATATATTTAAAATTCCAGCTAATTATGTACGTGCAATATGTTTTAATATTACTGTACGTAACTATCGTGATACAAAAACGACCACCAGTGTTTTTCAAAAGCCAGTTACTAAATATTACTCACAAAAAGATAGTGACGAAGGCTTAGAAATAAGCACAACATTAGATGTTACAGAAGTTAGTTCAGAGAAAAAACATATTATTTTAAATAAATCTGTTGTTTGTTTTGTTTAGTTAACAGAACGTGGCTTTTTAAATGATCAACAGAGTGTTACAATTGAAATAGAAATGTATTTTTCCCATTTGATGTTCTCTCCTGAATATTCACCATTAGACGATATTGTACGCAAACAAAAACAACAAATAATGTATACATCCGTTATTTGTTATAGCTTTTTAAATTAGAAAATTTTCATTTAGGCGTGAATTATTAACAGCTCAAAATGAAAATTTTCAATTAGAAAAAAAAATTCATGAACTTCAAGTATCCATACAAAATCCATCATTGATGTCAAATCGTTTGTCTGAATCTGTAAATGGACCATTATCACAAAGCCTTGCAACTGGTTCGAGTGCACCAGTCACACCTAATGTGGTTCGAAAATATTACGAAATGAAATATGGTGATAAAGGTTCAACATCAAATTTACTTGCAACAGGAGTTAACACTCCGTCATTACCTATGTATAATAATCCATCAAGTTTTGATTCCACACAATCGAATACAAGTCCATTAACAATGCGGAATGGTGCCCTATCTGGTAAAAGTCAAACATCATCCGTACCACAACCTAATGTTACTTTTGGTGCACGTAATACATCGACTTTTAATCTTCGAAATAAATTACCAAATTCATTACAAAATACTCTTGCAAATACAAGTCAATCGTTGCAATCAAAATTGCCAGCTAGCTTACAAAAACTACCAGCGAGCTTCACTCAAGGACCGACAATGAATATGCTGGCAAGCAAATTTCAAAATGCTTTTTCCTAGAATTATATGTCTACTACATAGAGATCTATGTTTTCTTTTTTTCTTTCGTGTATGTGTGTGATACCATTCCTGTATTTTTCCTATATTCTGTGATCCCTTATGTGTTTTTAAACAAAGATTAGAGATTTTTACTGAAAGAACATAAATGTTCTTTCTTTAATAATAATTAGCAATTTTAGAGACCAAGATCATTGTGAACTTCAAGAGTATTACCTCATCTTGACAAGTTGAGTTGAGAATCCCAAGTGCCACATATCTATCTATATATATAAAGAAGAATGTTTGTCTGTTTGTCTGTTTGTTCGTTATGCATTCAGTCCCTGTAATAGCTACGGTCGCCAAACTTTCCATGGTACTTCCCTAGGTCCAGGGAAAGGTCATGAGGGGGTCGGCGCCCCAGTAGGGGTGTGTGTGTGGGGGGGGGGGGGAGGGGGGGGGTACCTGGATGAAATTTCACCCAGATGACTTTGTATTAGCAAACATTACGAAACTTTCCACGGTGCTCTCCTGAGCTCAGGGGAAGGCTTTAAGAGGTTTGGTACTATTGATAAGGGCACAGAGACGATGCTTGGGTGAAATTTCACCCAAGCCATATCACAGTGGAATTTTCATCTCACGTTATGAAATGACGTTATTGATATGTTCCAGTGTTTTGCTTCAGAATAAATAGATATATAGATGTCTTTTTCTATTGATTTTCACTAAAAATCGATATATTCACTAAAGTGTTTCTTATTCTCCGACGATTCAAGCAACACATAAAATATAAATATTGTGTTATGTAGCGCCATCCTCTGGTTGTCATCCATCGGTCAGTGTTACGTCATATCGTCTGTCGTTCTCTTTCTGATATATTCCTTTCTCTTCTCGCGATTGTTATGCGTCATTTGACAAGTTCTATCTTCTCTACCTGTTTCCAGTATCTTCCCTTCTATTCCATACCTATCAGTATAAATAAATACCCGTCACTTTTACATAATAAACGTCAGTTTATTAGATTGTTCTCAAACGAAAAATAGAAGTCTATTGGACTACATTGGGTAGTGATTAACTAACCTTACAATATTCTACCAAAATAAATTGCAAACTACAAGTAAGTGCGTAACATCTATCCATTGGCGGGCCAGAGTCTCATATGGAGGTGTGGCAATAAAAAATGATGTGAATTTTTTTTAACAGAAAGCCATGTTTTTACTGTAATATATGTATATATACGGATACATATATACGACTGATCATTTTTCAGGTGCAACCAGTGGCGACTCAGCCCAGCCCCCACGGGTGCCGCGAGCATCCAAAAATTGTGGGCGTGTAGGCAACCTATAAAATTGTACTTCAGGTACAGTGTTGCTAGACCTTCCGGATTTTTGAGAATTTTGAAACTTTTTCTGGATTTCTTTCCGATTTTGTGAGGATTTTGTGAGTTTTTTTTTTGATTTTCGACTTTGATATCAGGCAACACTGGTTGAAGCGTTAAATTACAAACAAGAATACATATTAATATATAAAGTACATTTTCTAAAAACTCGCTAGAGGGCTGAGTCCTCCCTGGTTTTGTCACTGGATGTGGCAATTGCCACCAATTACCTCGTGGTGGCCCGCCAATGCATCTATCTATATATATAAAGAAGAAAGTTTGTCTGTTTGTTCTTCATATATTTCGACACAGTGCGAGCAAATGCAATGAAATTTTGCAGAGAATACCCTTTCGACCAGGAGAAGATCATAGGGTAGTTTTCAACCCCAAATTTTCACCTCAGGGGGGTGTTTGCGCCCGCCCACCCCCCGCACTCATTGTTAAATGTACTATAGTAAATGTCTTTTCCAGAGAATTTGCGCGCATGCTTGTTCTTCCATAACTTGAGAGCAAAAGTATATAAAAACCTGAGCTTTTGCCATTCGGCACAAGACATTTTAGAATGCTCGAAAAAAACGAAGAGAATGCATAAGACGAAGAGAAACCGTATAGATGGAAATATCCATCGAATGAAGAAAGCAACAAGTGAGATGCAAATTCCACCCCGGCCAACACGGATCGCGATTCTAATGAGTCTGTTCGCTATGTATTTAGTCGTCGTGAGAGATAGCGTCACGGAAATATCCGTGTCAGTTCCTTGAGTGCAAAAGAAAGTCGACAGGCTGATCGGAGTGAGAGGGAAGGCGTGCGTGAAATTTCATCCAAGTCGTAGGAGATCGCGATTTTACTCACTTTATAATCAAATGACGCAGTTCAATGCAAATTCGAGAGTGATCGTGTCCAGGGCGGATGTGAGTGAATATGTCAGCTTGAGCTCGGTGAGAAGAGTCCTGCTGAAGATGCCTAATGCACGGCGGCAAAAGCTGTGTGAAAGACACATCACGCACGGTGGGGAAAGATTTGTAGCAGAGGTTGCAGCTACGGTGAGGGTGGTGTCCTGTGGAAGAGGTATCACGTACGACAAGAAGAGTTCTGTGGAAAACGCCTAACGCTCAGCGGGAACAATCCTCTTATAAATGCCTGAGGCATGTAGGTAAAAGTTCTGCCCAAGGAGTTTCAGGCGTGATGGGAAAAGTCCTGTGAAAAAGGCCTGACGCACGACAGGAAAAGTTCTGTTGCAGAAAGTTCACCCACAGCGGGAGCAGTCCTGTGGAAGACGTGTCATGCACAGCAGGAAAAGTCAGATGGAAGATGCAAAACTTTAACTATATTCCCTTTTCATCGGGTACCTCCGCTAGTTTATTATAAATTTAAATGTCGCACCCCTATTTCCTATGATCAAAAAATATATTTTTGCAAGAATCTTTTTCGTTTTCTCTTCAATAGAGCATTTCTTACTTCTAGAATATTTTTTCACTTATAATTATAATGGAGCAATAGAAATATATATTGGAATGAGGAATAATTCTCGTTTAAATAAAGTATAGTGAAATATTATATGTAATTCTATACAAAAATGATTCCATCGCAAAAACACGTAGCACAGTATAAATTCTGATTCTGAAAATGGCATATGTAAACTCAACCTTCTAGCAACGCGTTGAAGCAGTTATTTTTCTATAGTCAATAAATGATTCAAAGAACGCGAAATCCTATAGTCTCTTATCAATAACATTATCATATTGCGAACTGATGCATACAATTGAGTTAAGCTGAACAAAGACGTTATATCTATATTATGAATGGTATGATACAACGAGATATATTATTTGTCTGCTCTAACAATGCTGAAGTCCATCATTCATGAAAAAATATATATGCATTATTGGTATATGTTCATTAGATTAAAATATATTGGAAAACTCCACCTGAGCAAAGAAACAAGTGAAGATTGGTACAGTGATCACTTATATATGTTTTTGATTTTTTCTTGTCAATTGTAAATAAAAATAATGTAGTTTTTCTCTTTTTAGTTGCTCATTTAATATTATAAAATTGTTCAAATTAAGTTTTCTTATTGCTCGATAGTTATACTGCTAAATCATATTTATCTTATTGTTCATTCCAAAAATTTTATCGCTGACATAAAATACAAGCCAATATCTTTTATTATACTTTACAAATTATTCTGTGCCATTAGCAGGAATATTAACTAGAAGAGAAAACGTATAAGAATAAAATGAGATCTTTCTCGAGTATAGCTAGTATATGAAATAATTTCGAAAGTATCGAGCAAAATTCTTTGAATGGATTGTTCTCTCTCTCAAGCGTATTTAAATGCTATATTTTTGTAGAAAATCAAACTTAAAATAATTACATATCTAGTTAACCCAAGCAGACATTAAAAAGTCATTCAATCGGAGTTTCAAGTGATGAATTATATTTCTTTCTTTTGAGTGGGTGTATCGCGAGATAATTAATCGAAATTCTTGTAAGTAGTACACAACCATAAATACTAATGAAAGAATGTTTTGGACGATACCAAGTTGTAATTAATAATTTATTCAATCATGAGTTTACAATAAAACAAGATAGCAATATTGCACTGCTAATAATATGTGCGTATGTTTCTCAATACAAGCCAAGTCTAACACTATTTACATACTAATAAACTATTTCTTCGAACAACTCAAATTTTAACTACTCTCTGACTTAGAGTACTGCCCTATCCCCCTCCCAATATATCGTGAGCTTATATACTAGAGAGAGACAGAGTTGTTCAGTGCGCGCCTATCTCAGGTCGATCAAAACGGACCACCGTAAGCCGGCGTAACATTACCGTAAACAGTCGTTTTTGCATCGTATTCCGTTGTACAACGGCCGTTTCAAGCCGTATTAAGGCGTTTTAACGGGGGGCAGTATTACGGCAGTACACGGACACCGTACATCAGCCGTAAAACCTCGTAAAGCCGGCGTAATATTATCGTATTCTATAGAATATACGGTCGTATTACTGCCCCTGCTATACGGGGAAAATACGGCACGTAAAACGGGTCGTATTTGTATCCTATACGACCGTTTCCTGATCGTTTTCTTCGACCGGAAATGTGTTAATGTCATATACACAAGGATGCACACTTAATTACATCACTGCGATATGTTTATTGACTCCTCTATGATTTATAGACTAAGTGGAGGTCCGACGGTTTCTATAACCACCTATTAAATCTAGTCCTTCATGAGTGATGTACTTCTTGGCACAGATATATTATCGAGTAGTATTTTTATCTTTAAACTTGAGTATCAGATTTTGCTTCTTTTGCTACGAAGGAAATATTTTTCAATCGCTAAATTATTTTTCATTAGAATTTTTTTTTGGTTCTCTTAAATTCAAGTAATTAGAACATTTCCTATTTAGAAAATCGCATATTTCTTACTTCTATGTCCTAGAATATCTTTCATTAAATTCTATATAAATTATTCTGTGGCATTAGCAAGGATATTAACTAGCAGAGAAAACGTAAGAATCAAAGGAGATCTCTCTCTGCGAGGTGTGAGTGTAGATTAAAGAAAACTCGGACCCACACCCACAGGGGTGATTCTACAATGAAATATGTGCTTAAGAGCAAGAAAAGTCAAAGCGACGTACTCGAAACAGTGATTTTGCATCTGTTGGATTGCAGTGATCCACCAATATTGGAAATCGTGGCTGAATATTCGCCTTCATCTTCTGGTTGTAAATTTACGATTTCCAGTGTGTATATATAATCATCATATTGGTTCTGTGTTGTTTCGTGAATACGATCAATTGGTTTGATTTTATTATTTCCTTTCATCCACACAATGCCTGGTTTAGGTGTTCCAATTGCGGTAATCCTGAGTGTCATGGTTTCCGCTTTTATAATTTGCAATGAACCACTGAGATTAACTATGATCACGGGTTTGATGATGATGGACAGTGTGGTTCTGGCTTCAGCTTCGCCCGCAGAATTCGTTGCCACAGCAGTATAGATTCCTTGATCGGCGCGTTCAGCTTGACGAATCGATAGTGTCGATGTTCCATCTTCAGTATCAGCTATTTTAAAGCGGCCATTGGTTGGAAGTGGTTTATTATTGAAGAGCCATTTTACTCCTGGTTTACCGATGCCACTGAACTTCCATGAGAGTTGAGTATCTTGACCGATAACACATGATTGATCGTTAACTGGTTCCTGAGCTTCCACTTTGGGTTGAACTAAAAAAAACTAAAAGAATCACTTAGTCGTTCATGTTGTACGCAAGAGATTATGGGAGCACTGGCCTTCTACGTTGGGGTGTGGGCAAGGGGGAAAAGGGGATCCTATTGGATACCAGGATTCATGGGGATCCAGCAGGATCCAAAAAGCCTGATCGGGAAAAGGAGGAATTGTCGTAAGAGTTTCGTGTAAGAAGCATGAGTGAACTGGCGACCCAGGACAATGATTCCTGAAGCAGTATTCCGTGAATTTCCGGCGAAACCTGCAAGAAACTCGCTGTTTCCGATCGGAACCCACCGGGAATTGTCTGGAATTCGATGCAGGAATCCAGAAACCGTATCCGGCTACCAGTTTTGGCAGGTTACTATTGATTCCGGCCGGAACCGGATAAATCCGGCCACCGGATCCTTCACCGGAATACTGCTTCCATGAAATCTCCGGAATACCACAGAACCGGCCGTTTCCGGGACCGGAATGTTCGACCTGGGAAGATTGACATTTTAGTGAATTCCGATGAATCTTGCTAGGTTCCAATGAGTTTTTCGACACTTAAAAATCAGGTAGGATGCAACATAGGAGTGTACCGCTTACGCGCACGACCACGAGCTTGAGCGGTATATTCTTAATTATTATTACTTGTATTATTTATTACTAGCAATAAAATTTAAAAAAATTGAAACTAATAAAAGCAACAACTGATAAGTAATAAAGAGTAATAATTATTACCGTAATAAATACAGACCCAAAGATAGTAATTAAAAAGTTTTATTATCTGTCTAGGAGGATTTCGTATAGCTACTTGCGACCCACCGAGAGATCGTATTAGAAGCTTCCGGAATCAGATCAGAACTGGCCCCTATAGCTATTAGGAACCTACCTACAGGTGATACTCAGAACGTTTTAAGAATCACATAAGGGTAATACTTAGAAGTGTTTTGAGCCTGGTCAAAGGTGATACTTAGAAGTTCTAAGAACTCAGTCAGAGGGAGTAGTCAGAAGTTTTAGGATCTGCCCATGGGTGGTCTCTTTAGCTATTTGGGATATACTTACAGGTGATACCTAGAACTTTTAAGAAACTACCAAGGGCTAGCCCTGTATCTTTCTGGCCTACCCCAGGATGGTAATTAGAACTATGTGAAAACTTCCAAGGGCTGATCTGTGCAACATTTTAGTACATATATAGCGGCATCTCTTGTATTCTTTTATGCAGTGTGGGAGGGGATTCTTATAACTTATTCAGTCGTAACTAGGGATGAACCGAGACCAACACTCGTCAATACTGGAATCGAGGCTAACCGCTAACCGCTAACGAGAGCGAGACCAAAACCTCGACCGCAACGACTGAGACGGAGATGGGAAGTCTCGGTCTCGGCACAACCCTATTTGTAACTATTGGCAGTTTCTATAACTTTTTCAATCCTCTATAAGCATCGTCGTTTTAACATGTCACTCTGTCCAGCAGTGATATCTTCAAATTTGAAGTACTGTCCTTAGCGGTCCCGAAAAATTCATAAGGGCAACCCTTAAGTAGATCCAACATGGCTAAAGTAACCGTCCCAGTGTAAATCCACAAAATTTACGGGAACTACCTCCAGGTAGGATGCAAAAAGTCACAGGCATCACATCTAGATATGACCTAAGAAATTGAAGGGATTAGCCTTAGTTACGGCCCAAATAATACTAGTGATTGAATGTAGGCAATCTAGCGATTGTGGAGAAATCAGTGACTAGAACTGTTTCAGCAGTTTTTTCTTTCATTTGATCTGAACTATGATCTGAGAGCTGTTGTAGTCCTAGTGGTGAAAAAGTAGAAATATATCGATAAATAGAAGTAATTCAACCATCAAGTTCTTTATTGCTTTATTTCTTCCTTATTACTTTATTCATTTTCCTGTCTTTTAGTTAGTACCATTAATTCGAAATAACAGTTATTACTTATTACCGGTAATAGTAATGTGCTAACTCTACTAGACATATATAATAAGATCCTAGCATTGCTCTTTGGAAGTTTTCGGTGGTAAGATGAGCTAGTTTAAGAAACAAATATTCGGAAACTATGATCTTCCAAACTTTAATGAGCTTATTCTATCGCTTATTGCGGATTCATCGAGTAACAAGTATTTACATACATCGATTGAATATATTAGATAAGAAACTGCATGAAATACTAATTATAATGTATTTTTATACGAATATAGCTAAAGTGGGTGCATTATTACTGATTTCTTCCATATTCTATTTAGAAAAAAAAACTCTCACGCTTATCAGCGTTCGTGACCATCAGCTGCACACTCCTAATCCAGCAGGATCCATCGTTTTTACATTGTTTGAAGATTGCTGTAGAGCGAACCAGTTTTTGGTGCACTGTAGTAGACGCCGACGTATGTAGTAGATTGAAGTATAAATTTCCGTACACTTCAGTCAATCTATTGTGCAATTTAATACCCTTTATTAGGAGCAACAGGATCCGCTTTTCTCACCCTTGAGTTAGTTGATTATAACTAGAGTTGAATATTATAACTCGAGTTATAACTAGGTCAATTTTAACCCACACAGTGATTCAATATCATATAGTTGTAAAAAAAAATCATTTACTCAAACTTGCCTATGTAAATGATGAATAAATAGTATTCATGCATAATCTTTCGGATTACTTTCGTATCAAATGAGCTAGAACAGCTAAGGCCTTTTTGTTTCAGATTTCTTACTTTTGGAATTTTTTCTAGAACAACGCTAGCTATTTTGAAAATGTGTAACAAGCATATATTTCACATTCTATTATTTCATCAGTTTTTATTGAAGCATATACTGAAAAGAGCACAGGCGGCACAAGCTCAAGTCTCTAGGGGAAGTAATACGGTGTGGGTGTGGGCTAAGAAAAAAATTACATCCACACCCACACCCTTGCTCTAACCATTCTCTAGATACACTTGCTTAAAGCTGAAAAATGCCTGTGCGTTACCTTCGTTTCGACTGGGCTGTTTTTTCCCTTTTCCATTGCACATGCAAGAACCCATTCGATTAGTGCGAGCCTGTTTGGAACTGTGTGTGTCTAAACAAAAATATATTTATTGGTGGTTCGTATTTACCTGACACAAAATGAAGTGCCCGCCTTTTTTGCATAGGCTATATCCCTCCACCCACCCTGTGGTTGTGGCTGTTGTGGCTGTTGTGTGCTAACCTTCTCAGCACTCACACTCACACCCACACCCACATCCTTTTGTCAATAAAAATATTAATATGTACTATATTACTGCAACAAAAACGCGCTATTTGATTTAGAATACAGAAAATAGATTCAAAATTTCTACTTTAAAGCCATCAAGGAGCTGCTTATTCATGTATTTCATTTCGCATACTCACCTTAACGTTCGTTGTATTTGCTTTAAAAAAAGTAGTCCGTTACTCTGTCAACAACTTTATATATGTGCTACCATACAGAACACACGAGTCGCTCTTTCGCGGGGAAAAATGCCACGACAGAATTGTCAACTTTACTTTTTCCCCTGCATTATATGCATTTTTTCCCTCGCTCTCTTTCCACCCTTAAAAGACTTTTGGGTGATGCTTCAACAGAGTTTTGTTTATAGAGCATGCCAAAAAAGTGCTGTTGTTGCTGATTCAAGCAATATAAAATCAATCAGAAGGCTGTCGTAATGACTGCTGATCCGAAAGATGTACGTCTTTCTTACTTTCAAACAAGTAGGGGTGGGTGTTAGTGGGGATGCGCTGAATTCCGTTCAATTTCTGTTGTAGCTAATTCCAGGAATTCTGTACTGGAATTGCATTTGTCACCGAACAGTAACTGATAATAATGGTCCATTAATCACTGAATTCCGAGGAGTAGGTGGGAATTTGTTTCGGCTCTTCCGGAATGATAGGTATCACATATCCGAAATATCGGGCATGCGGGAGATGCCAAGGGAGACGCCGATATCGGCATAACCAGCGTTACGGAATTTCAGTTTTTTTACTTCATAAGATTCGTATCGTCTCAATGACATACGTAAATTATTTGAAATCGCTACCATAGATGGAGACTGTTGGGAACTACTACCGATATAAATGTCATTCATTGTTCTTTAACCAATGGGCAGTAATTGGAAAAAATATCGATCGTTACGGAATTTCAAAAATGGAAGCTTATTTATAGGTAGAGTGAGAGTTTAGCGTTTTGCTACGAAACTAAGCTACAAAAGAATAAGCGTTCTATATAAAAGATGTTCAGCTTCGACTAAGGTTTAAGAGCATCAGCTTATATTCTTCAAATGTACAGTGTTATGGAATAGAAAAAGTAAAAATACTTCGTTACGGAATTTCATCTTTTTTTTGGCATTTCTTTGGAGAAGGTTTGTGAACCCACTATTTGGCATTGTCGAAACAAAAAGCATCAATTTTTAGATTTATGCTAAGTAGAGAGACGTCGCTGTTTGTTCAATCAATTTAGTTTTATTTTCACAACAAAGTAACAATGAAATAAAATAATAACTACGACAGGAAATTTCACGTGTGAAGCATAGGCATAAAAACAAGAAAAACCATTAAAAGTGAATAACTGTTTTTTCAGTACTGTTTGAGTAGACTTTACACTCAATTTCATTAGTTTTTAACACAGTTATCGAGTGAAGTTTTTGAATATTAGGAATGGCCTTGACATTTTCAAATAAAAATTTAAGATTTTCAGCAGCATCTTCAATGTCAGTTGTCAATAATTCTTCAATAATAATAGGTGTGTCTCTTGCTTGAATCAAACGTGTAAAATCAGCAGCATTTGTACATCGTTTTCCTGACATTACATCTTGATAGATCCTTCTTTTCACGCTTCCACCAATTCCATCTACGACACTAGGAAAGCTTACTAAGCGCTGACAATTACTATTCTCGCTGCACTTTCTTTCTCAGCACGATTCATGACTAATCGATTATCATATTAAACAATTTCCTTTTTGAAATATTACACTTGTTCATCATACTCTATCGAAATACCACTAACCTTTCCCATGACTGCTTGCAAAGAAATTCCATGATAAACTTATTTTAAATTTATCGGCTAAAATTGAGAGATTTTTAAATAAAAACCTCTGTTTGAACTGGCTTGCACTACCATCACTGAATATAATCAATTCTTCTATCGATGGTATCAATATTTTCATACGTGTAAGAATACGTTCGAGACATGTAGCAACTGTATATTTGTTGTGTGCTACATTGTTTGATACAATAACAAGGGGATAAGTTGAACCGTTACCCCATACGTAAGCGGTGAATAACGATAGTTGTTTTCTTGACCAGTGTGCACTTTGAATTTCGTTCTGTTCAATAATTGCATAGTTCTCGGAGTAGTCAACTTGAATAAGACATTTTTTTATTAGTAGTATTAGATTTAATCGTTTCGAAAAATGATGACTGTTGCCTTTTTATAAAAACATGAAATAAAAATTGTTCGACTTTGTTAGATAAAATTTTGACGCATTCCACAACCGGTCCTTCATAATCAACTTTCACAGCTCTTCCTTGCTGTGATGTCGACCACAATGCCCATTTGATTAATGATGTTGGGTTAATTATTTTATTTTCGATTTCATTTTTAAACTTATCAACACAAATACTACAATTACTGAACATACAGTTCTGATTTTGATCATTGCAAACAATCAATTTTAAGAATGAATTTAAATCAATTGTATCCAATCCTTGTACATGTTTGTTTAATGACTTTATAAGCAATGCTATATTTTCATGGTAATTACATATACACATATTGTGTGGAATTGATGATTTATATAAAATGTAATCAGGTCTTAAATCTTGAAAACTTGATAAGCTGATTATTGCGTTTGGATTTTCTTGGATGAATAATTCATACAATTCACGTAGTGTAAATAATAAATACTTTTTTTGCATTTTTTTTCTAAGACCGTTTTCTTTAATTGTAATTGAATCTCTTTTTCCCGGTGCTTGATAGCTTATGTCATCCCGACGATAAAATTCATAAACTTTATTCTTTACTGTTGTTGGTAAGGCTTGATAATCACGTTCTTGTTTCTTTTGTATTTTGAGAATTTTTAAGTCTTCAGCAACTTTTGTAATTAATTCAATTTGTCTTTTTTTATTTACAGGTAATACGTTCATAATCTTTTTCAATGCTTTCGATTTTGTTTGCTTCGTTGAAAAGGATGATGCTTGTACTGTTGAGCAATCAGAAGCGTTCTGTTTCTTTGCGCGAAACTTTTGCAGATTGATTTTTTGACGTAGTCGTAGTGCTGTCATTTCAGATAAAGTCATTTTTAAACGTGCTAATCGTTTCCGTTTTCGATCTTTTTGCTTCATAATCTCGCTCAATTCTGCATTCTTATTCTTTTTCTCTCGACAACGTTGAGCTCTTTGTGCACCAGAAAGAGCCATTTAACGAAAAAGATTATTTACTATGAGAATTAGAAATGTTCAATCTAAAATTTTACTAATAAACATATTTCTAGAAAATATCGCTCCTCTGACTTCGAAAAAATAAAATACTATATTAAAAAATTCTTTATACCAATCATAAATTCATGCTCTGAAGTAATGTGAGTAAATGTTTTTATCATAAAGTTAAGAAATATAAATTCATGCAAACATATGATAAACAAGTTTTTAACTGTTGAAATTCCGTAACGGAGTATCTTTTAGAAAAGTACACAAAAACAAAAGCAAAGTTGGCGAAAAACTAATGCATTTAGCAGGCCTTTTTAACAGGTACCAGACTGTGAAAGTTCTAAAATATTAACTTCTATTGTGTTCAAATGCGACATATTATGCACTGTTTTCGTTACGGAATTTCATGACAAATGAAGACAGTTTAAAAACGTCTTCAAAATCTATAGGATAATTGAAATATTTTGTGAAGCTTATATTTTGAGAGAACATGTCAAGTTACATCAACGGTTGTCAAATTTGAACCCATCAATTAGTTTTATCACTACGTAAGAGCGATCAACTTAGAGTGACCAATCCGTTTGTTTTATTAACATTTCATTGGATAAGAGAATAACGTTAGCACTAGATCATAATCGAGTAATCAGAGACTGGCGACATCTGTTCTATAGCTTATCGTTAGTGCTCTTTTCAATGGTATATTCAGTTTTGCTGACTTTTGAAATCGAACCTTCCTCATGCGAGGGTGACCGCTGGCTGGTTATGCCGATATACAAAAGTATAACTAACACATAATACAAGTACTATGCTTATGGAAAATTATTTAAGCGCATTCTGCGTCTCATGCAGAGACGCCGCATCTCTGGCACCCCCATATCCAGCGTCTCCCGATGAAAAAATACTTTTCGGCTTTTAGCCTAGACTCCTCCGGAAGATGCCGCGTGTGACGCAGAGACACCGTATCTTCGGGGAGCCACTGAGGAAAAACATTTTCCTTATTTGAAGACCATGACCAATACCCATCCATGGGTCACAGTCGAGTGTGGGAACCGTTCATCCAGTAATGCTGTCTAACTCACAGGGAAGGCGAACGGTGCTCGTGAGCGCCGAAAAAATTATCGGCTTGCTAAATCGTAGTCATCCATGGATATAGGCACATAAACGAAATACTAAATTTACAGCGAATGACAGGTAAAAAGGTAAAAACAGGAGCATTGGCAACCACGTGGAAAAGGCAAATCATTTGATATTGGCGCGTTGCTGCGGTAGACAAGCATAAAAACACGCGCACCTACTTGAACGTAAGTTGATTGCAAGCATACCAACCCACACACCCACATCCACATCTTAGAGTGACAATTCGAGTAGCAGAGATGCGACTGTATCTGTACACTGTCGTTTTCCTGCTTTCATCAGACCCACATTAGAGATCAAGTATATGTGTGTAGACGAGGTATTCGGTCTTTCGTGGCACCCACACTTGCGATGGGTGTGACAGTGTATGAACGCGTTAATGTGTTTTCGTGTTTTCGTGTTTCTCTACCGTGGTCGTACATCAACATTGAGTGATATGCCTTTTTGGCGTCGTTACCTCTCTGCCTGTTTTACCTTTTTGTGTCTGATTCAGTGTATATCGATTGATTTGTCTATGTGACTCTATCACCGAAAGACTACGATTTAGTGTGCCGACCTGTGTTTCGACGCTCAGCCTCTCGCTTCGCTCCATCATGTGATGAACTTCATTTCTGGTTCCGGCGTCGCGGTGAGTTGTATAGCAATACCATATGCACAGTTTCCACACTCGATTGTGACGTACGGGCGGGAATTGGTCATCGATTTCAAATCGGGAGAGCGATTTTTCTCAGTAGTTGCCGGAAGATGTAGCGTCTGCGTGTGAGACGCGGAATCCCGCTATGGAGACGCATATCCAGGTAGGGTCTAGGCTAAAAATCGAAAAATATTTTTTCATCATGAGATGCGGCATCTCCCGTGGCATCTCTGGCATGCCCGATTTGTCGGATATATGATACTGCGGCTCGGAATTGTGTTGGAAGTGATAAACGAAATTCCAGGAATTAGATGGAATCGGTTCAAGAATGTTCAACATTGCGGGATAGAATGTATTCTCATAATTTAAGTATTCATACTCTTACATCTCCATCTCTCCATTCGTCACTCTGATATTCAAATGACATTTGAAAATATTGGTTCAAATATGTGGGTGTGGGCACTCAATTCAGATCAGCAGTAAAGTCCCACCACATCCTTCCACTGTCGAAAACACACGATATTTTTAAAAGTTCTATATCATTTAGTATCCTCAATTAAAATGGCCGTTGCTACTATATCGGATGAAGATTTTGACACAAACAATGATGACAGATATCTTGAGTTCTTCTGTCTTATCTGGCTCGATGACAATATAAATGCTAAAGAAACTCGAGATACTGAACAAAATTTACGTTCAATAATTAATAATTTGAAGAAGTTTCAAGATGTAACAAAATGTCAAGAGTTTATTGAACGAAGATCACAAAACGATCGATTAATACTCATTGTTAGTGGTCAATTAGAAAGAAAGATAATACCTTGTATTCATCAAATTCGACAAGTTATATCAGTCTATGTTTACTGTATGAACAAAAAGAGCAATGAAGCATGGGCTTGTAAATTTGCAAAGGTAAAAGTATGATAGAATATTTTACTTGGGTTTCATGTCATTTTTTTTCACTAGGTGAAAGGTGTCGAGATTGACCTTGATAAACTTGTTTCTCGAATCAAAACCGATCATAAAATTCAAAAGAAAGTAGAAGAACCATTATCCATCAATATCTTTACTGCAAGCGCTGACTCGGGTACATCAACAATGGAAGTCAATGGTGAATTTGTTTTTTCTCAGATTCTTATTAATTGTCTTCTACGACTAAAAGCCACTCAATTAGACACAAAGGAGCTCATTAATCATTGTAAAAATGAATATGAAGGTAATCAAATCGAGTTGAGTAATATTAGTGAATTTCAACAAGATTATTCACCTAAGAAAGTCTTACGGTGGTATACTCGAGAATCGTTCTTTTACAAAACTCTCAACGCTGCCCTACATACACAAAACATACACTTACTTTTTTTATTTCGTTCATTTATTTCTGATCTACATCAACAATTATAAGATTATCAAGCTAAACATCGTCTACGAGTTTATCGAAGTCAAGTGATATCAAATGTTGAACTGAAAATTTTGAAGCAATCTCTTGGTCAACTTATTTCTATAAATTCATTTTTTTCCACTAGTACTGACTATTGGAAAGCTCTTGCATTTCTAGATCTCTCTGATGCTTCAGGTGATTTAGAACGAATATTATTTGAAATAAATGCTGACCCTAAGATAGTCACTACAAAACCATTTGCTGATATTAGTAAACATACTGAATTCAGTGATGAAGCAGAAGTGCTCTTTATGATTGGGTCTATTTTTCGGAGTCCATCCGGTTTATCGTTTCCCAGAGAAACGATAGAAAAAAAGCTTCGAACTTGTCAGATCCCTATACGTCTACGTCCTTTCTATAAGTCTTAATCTTGTACATATCTATCTGTATCTCCTAACCTGTACATCCAAATCTCTACGACTTAATCTATACGTCTTAATCTATATGTCCTAATTTAATACGTCATAATCTTTACATCAAAATAATACAGACAAATCCGCACACCCCTTTTAGGTTACCCTATCTGGCGATCTCATGGGATTTTAGCAATATCACCTGGGATGCTAGCAGCACCTGTGAAGCAGCTGCATTCCGAATTCGCATGTTGAACTCCTCGATAGAGCCCGTCGGGTCCGGGTCCGGATATGAAAAATAATTTCAACCGGCTCCAGGTCCGGGTCCCGGTTTAATTAAAATTTTTTTACTGATTGAGTGCGGATGCAACGAAAAAATTTCATACAAAAAATAGTTTTGATCATTAATTTCAATGTTTGATTTTTTTGTGTACTCAAAAAAAAAGAGTACACTATAGAATCGGTCAGTGTGTCCGGCCGTTTATTCGATTGAGTTGAAATTTTGTGCACAGAATTGTCTCATCAATATCTAGGCCGAGTTCGAAGATGAGAAGGATCCGCCGAGAAATGGCTGAGTTATCGAAAAAATTTTCATTTTTGATCAGACCATCTCTGAGGGGGAGTACAGGGATTTTTCAAAAAAACGTTTTTCTCAGAATTATCCACAACATATATAGATCGACTCAGCTTTTAACGCTGATCCTTGATCTGATATTAGTTTTGAACTAAATCGTAGCTTTCTAACGAAACATCGCCTGAAAAATGTCTCAAAATGCACAAAAACTGCATCCAGAAATCAAATTGCCTAGTTTCTCATGATAATTTTGGTGTTCAGACATTCTAGAGTGACTCATAAGTCCCATGCACTTTTTGCAGTACACATAACTCTCGGATGAAATCCGAAGTTTCCACATTTATTATTAAAAAGCATCGAATTTACTTGTGAGAATAGTACGAAAAAATTAAAAACATTTCTCGACTATAATATTTAAACCTAATTTACATCAAAACTATAAATTCAAAAATATATTATCTTGTTTTTTTACTGTCATGCATATGTTCAATATTATATAAAACATCGTCATCGTCATCATTTGGTTTCATTCTTTTGATGTTGGTGATGAAGTAGCACTGCCTACATCTTCAATGATTACAACTGATTCACCATCAGGTATAGACAGTTGTTGCTTTGACTGTTCTTCATTCTTATTTAATTTCTTTTAAAGTAAATAATTCTTTTAAGAAACAATAACTTGTTGAGCTTGTCTTCGCCTAAACTAGTTCTTCGATCAGTTACAATGCTTTTTATGGTGAGAATAGCCACAGTACGATGATATTCAAAGCAGGTATTGCATATAGATCATGTACAATTTCAGATAAGGTTGGAAATGATTTTTCATGATTCTTTCAAAATAAAAGGATATCGTCACTTTTTTGATCCGGTACAATCAATTCTCTGTAGTCATTTGATTCCTTCATTGGTGTCGTAACTGAACTGACTATTGCTCGTGGTTTATCAAAACAACAAGCTAATAGGTTGTTCGGATTAGCTGATGCTGTTGAATCATTTATAATTGATACATTCATAGTCACCGCTTTTGAAGCAGTATCTGTTGTAATACGTGATATTGATGTACGTGCTAAGAATTCTCATTTAACTAAATCAAACGCTAAATCTTTCTCATGTGGTTCTGCATCAAAGCGTTTAAGACGAGGATGAAGGAAAGTACAAATGTAATGCTCATCTAGTAGAATTCAAACAGACCTTCTGCATTCACCTAAGATAATATAGTTCTCTTTTAAAACTTCTTTCCGATATTGTTTATTATCATTTAGCATTTTCATTGGATCACCGATGTTAACATTAGATTGAGTAGCTGTTGCTAGACGTCTTCCAACTAGTATTACATATCTCAAATAATTAGTTATCAATATATTTGACATTATATTATTTTGGTCACAAGGAATAATACTAGTGTTATCAATTCAAATCTAAAAGCAAAGTCAAAATAGGTAATTCAATTCTGTTCACAAAGTATCTGTTGGTATTTCGGTTTATATAATAAAGTATAGTTAGAGTGTGAGTGTGAGTGTACTGTTGTGGTACTCCATCGCTTCCACACCCTTAAGGTAAACACAGAAAGCTTCTTACACTAAATACGCACAATTTAATGTTCGAAGTCGATTTAAATGATATGTTGGTGGTGTGCATTCGCCTGTTCATTGGTTGATATCAGTGTCAAATATGACCTAGAAGAATATATTGTGGACGTTGATTGCTATGTATGATTGGCTGAAGGACTTTTTATACGTGATAATTAACCACATTCAATTGAGAACTGATGATTGTGGATATAATTGTCACGACGGACAGATATTAAGTGTCGAAAATCTATTTAATTAAAAAGCATTTTTGTAAATAAAATAAAGCAAACTTCTTGGAAAACTAATGAGATCCACAGCCGTTGTTGATGAAGATGTTCTTAATTACTTGTTAACATTAGTAATTTTAATTTAAGTTCATGTAAATCATGTTCTCATTTTTCTAATTCTAAACGTTGATTATTTTGTGCAATAGTTAATTCAAGCATTACACGTTCACAATCACGAATTTCCTTTGGAAAAAATTAAATTAATAAAACACGAGATAGAAAAAAAGAATATTTCGTCGTTTTACTTTTTCTTTTGTTTGTAATTTAGCAAAAATATCTTGAATTTCTTTACGTCAACCTTGTCCCAATGTAAAATAACTTTCTTCATTTGGTTCCATATTATATAAATCATGATTTCAATAATTTTATTTATTTGTTCATATAATTCACAAAATGTTGGTCGATTATATGGAAGTGATTGCCAACAACTTATTGAAAAATAATTGTATTTATAAGAATAATGAAGACAAAAAAAAACTTTCATTAATTGTGAAACATTTTCTGGGAATGTAGTTGGAATAAGTGAAGAATATTTATTTGTAGGAATACCAAACAGAAGTTGCATGTGATGAAAACCTTTGTATGTTATTTCAGCTGTTATACATTCTCGTAGAAGAACACGAAAACTAAAAAGAAAAAAGAACGCTTTCCATGTGATTCAACTGTGATCTAAAAGAAAATTTACACGTCTCAATCTCCTATGACAGTCTGTATACTAAGATCATATCGTTATAATTTATATAAACTACTACTATCTTACGTTAGTGTATTTATCGAGGATTCAATAAAATCAAGTAAAAAAATGTGTCTGATGAGACATACAATAGAGAACAATCGCCCTATCATCAGTAACAATACCGTCTAGATTCTATTAATACCTATCCGAATAAGCCTAGAAAGTATTTGTTCATATTGTTTTCAATCTACCTCGAAAGGTCATGATCTAACAGAAATAATAGAACTGATGGTTATGTAATAAAAATCACAAAAATTTCGTGATCATATTGAAAACAATCTCGAGTCAACATGGACCTTTTGTGAAACAGTATTAAGAAGTTCGCCGTGATAGGAACGATATAAGTGTAATATGTTTTCTTTATTATTCTTACCTGCGAACATATGAGATTCTTTTTAAAATTCATTACTTCGTATACATGCGGGACTCATCTAAGAAAATGTTCCATCAGCTGGCATGCTTGATGTTTTGCAAGACGAAAATCTATAATGTTGAATGTTTTATATAAAAGTCCATTATCATGATGAATATCTTCAATTGGTTGTAAAATGAGAACTAAAACAATATTTGAACATTTTAAATGTCGATGAATAACATGTTCAGATGCTTCATCATGTAAATATTTCATTCCATCAGAAATGTTTTCAGCATATTCAATAAATACATTTGGATAAAGACCAGATTTTCCTTTTTGTAAGAGAGAATTTAATGCAACATCTCGTACGAATTCCATAACAAGATAACGCTTTTTTGTTGATAATGATGAACAAATACCAAATAACTGTATTATATGTTGATGTTTAAGATTAGTCAAGAGACGTACTCCACGTAAAAGACCACCTATAAGACTTTTTCTATGCATCATTCGTTCATTTATCATAATTGTCAACTGTTGATGATAGCGCTTTCATAGAACTAAAGGATGTTAGCGACTTTGCAGTTTTTATTTCTACTTCAATATCATCAAATTCTCGGTAATGTACATGACTAAATAAAAAAAAAAGAAGAATGATGTGTTTTTCTATAAAAATAGGACATTTATTAGAAATATTTAATGATGAAATTTAAAATGTGTTCATTTTAGTTCAAAATATCGCGCGATTTCCAATATGTGATAGTGGCCTTTTCATGCATCTTACTATTTATTTAAGATTTTCCCAGTATCGGCGAGACATGTTGATTGGAATATTTTTGGACTGTATCAGAAGACATTCACGTACGAACCCCAATTAGAATGTGTAAGTACATTTACAAAAAGTCTTATCGATTTACGTAATTTCTATAGAAAAATGCGTGTAAATTTTCTTTTTTAAGCTGACAGATATTTTACTTCTGATGATCAAAATATTTTTCTCAAATCAGCGATTTTGTTTTACAATTATTCAATGAATTTTATAAATCTACTGTCATTGTTTTGTCAAGAAAAAACTTAAACAATGAATATCTAATTCATTCATTTATGTAAATCTTTCACAAACAATTCTTACCCAAAACAATCAACACCAATTAGAGATTCAATTTATAATTCTTTTTCATCAATAGTACGTAAATTTGGTTTTGAACTTGCAACAAAATTCGCATGAAATACACCAACAGATTTTGAATTAATCAATTTACCAGTTCACCGTCCTTTTGAATCCGGAATTATTTCATCTTTTGATAGAATATAATACACTTGCGCGTCTTAAAAATACATTAGAATTTTTTTGTTGTTGATATTATTAGACTTTGAGTTTTAAATTTCATACTTCAATATTAATTTATCATTTCTTGTGCTTGCGTAATCATAAATAACATGCAAAATTTTGTCATTTTTATTAGTTACAGATGATGAATTGTTCATATTCAATGATGTATTCGTTTAACAAATATGTCATAGGAAACGAACGATCTTTTTTTCTTCTATCTTTCCTTCCAATGCGATTTATTTATTTATTTACGAGATTTGCATAGGATTGGATGAATAATTTATTATTGAAATAATCTAGCGACATTTCTAAAACTGAAATAGCCCAATAGCTTTTACTTTTATTTATTAGAATAAATAATTTTTTTAAATTACAACGAGAAATCTCATTTAAATTAAATAATTCGTCGTTGATTTTATATCAATTCATGATATGAACATTTTTTACTTTTATATTAAAATTTTCTATAAATAATCCAGTATCATCATCATCCTCATGAAACGAAAGAAAATGAATTGAAATCTATGTAAGTTTAAAACAAACTCAATTCAAGACATAAGATTTAACTTTGAAGGTTTTATGTTTTGATTTATAATCTAGGCCATTTTGATATAAAATCAATATTATAATTCCATCTGATGTTTGCTATCTTAGTCGAATGCCGATTGAAATGCGTTATTTTATTTAGCAGAAGAAGTTCGTCACTTAGTACAACTGATGAATATTTTACTATAATATTACATTTTGCACGATGATCAATAGGTACTCGTTATTCTAAAGTCGTATGAGAAACAAGCCCAGATCGTCGATGATCAGGAGCTTGGAAAAGTCTAGGCAAGATAGAAAATAAAAAATCGTTGTTATTAAACATCATATTAGGTCGATTGCATGACTTAATGACACGTCTAGTATCGGTTTCACGTCGTTTACAAATTATTTTTGTGAGATTTGTTTTAAAGATTTTCCAACTACAAATCAAAACTAAATGTTTGGAAATCAAAAAAAGCATAATATATACGTGTGAACTTTTATCTTCTGCTTGTTCGTCACCGTTTGGAGATGAGGATTTATGTAAAACAGTTGCAAGTGTTTAATATTGCAATTAAATCTTGAAATTTTGTTAAAATATGATTTATTTTTTCAAACATTCACTAGTTTTATCATTCACAAACGGCTTTTTTTAAATAAAACAAAACTAAAGATATATTCTATTCATATGAAAGACAGAAAAGTCAAACGAAGTATGTTTACGACACGAATGATCCATCGAGTACAATTGAATCAGTATCTCTATTGCACGTCATCAAAACTTTATATCCCATCCAATAGAAAGATAATTAGAGACCACTTTGATATCGTCGATATTCTCATAACATAGCATATTGCTTCGCTAGTTTACCATTTGCTACGAATGTAAAGCGGCACGGAAACAATTTTCTCTTAACATACATTCTTTTTTGATAAAATTTACATAGATTCTTGCGGCACAGACTTGATTAAATGGAAGATTTTGAAGAACCACCTGCTCCGATTGAATATTTTTTGTAATTGTTAGAAGCAATTGGATTCGTTGAAGGAATAGAAATCGAATATCAGCTACATTGCACATGTTAGATTTCAACTAAAAAGCCGATTCATAATCACTTCTATCTAAAGCTCATCTTTCTTCAGCACATAAAAATATGATGTTTTTTCAACAGAGTTTCTGTTGTGTTTTTGTGGAGGCATGCGCGATGAAAGTTTTGTTGATTAAATTGTTCTTAATATAAAATTTTAACTAGGAGTGTTTTTCTTTGGTGAAATAATTAATAATTGAGCTGTTTTCCAATACAAAACTGACGGACAGAATGCTATTCTCTGTGAGAGTAGTTTTGTTTCAATACGTTTTACAACAACATTTTATGGCTGAAAGTTAGAGTCATGCAGGTCAACCTTGTCCTACCCTACCCTACCCTGCCCTGCAGGGCAGGATAGCACTAGGGTACAAAACTCGTAGGGCAGGGCAGGGTTAGGGTATAAAGCTCGTAGGGCAGGGTAGGGTAAGATTACAAAAAAAAAATTTAGGGTATAAGTAAGGTGTAGCTCATATAAATAAAAATTTTATAGAATAGAACTTAATATATATTTCTGACATCTTTTTGATCAAAAACAGTGTAAAGAGTGATATCATAATCTAAATCGAATGGGTAGAATAACAACGAACGGAAAACAATGGCCTATTCTTTAGTACTATTTTTACATAAGC